AACTGAACAGCAACATAACACAGCACATAAAAAGAGAGCCAATGACTTAAATATATCTCCTTTTTTTAAAACATTAGTCAACTGTTCTGTAATAGGTACCTTGCAACTGTATAATAAGCAGATACCTATTTTTAGGGTTCTTCTTAAATAATCGTTTAGCCTAGCAGACTGTTTATATCTGGTCCACGCGCCTCCTTCGGACCACTGAATTATGCTGCTGCTGTACGCCCAGGGTGCAGGGTGGCCCAGACAGGAGGGCGCGCTGTCGGGGAAGGGGAGCCAGGAACACGGACTGGGCTCTGAGAAGCACCTCAGCCGGCGTGACTCTGGGCTGGTTGGAGCATCGTCCCGTAAACCGAAAGGCTGAGGGTTCGATCCCCAGTCACAGCATGTACAGGAGGCAACCAATCAGTGTTTGTTCGTGTGGGTTGTTTTTCCGCTCTCTCTCTCCCTCTTCCTTTCTTTCTGGAAACAGTGGCTATATCCTCAAGTGAGGATTTAAACAAAAAATGACTCAGAAAGCACAGCGGCGCCAAGGTCGTGCGCCTCACGTGGTCTCATCGGGGTCGGGTGTCCAACCGACAGAGCCTTCGGTGCTCCACTGATTCAGCTTCTCCTTGTCGGGTCCTGATTTCCTGGCACGTCCCGTTGAAGAAGGGACGATGGCTGCTTCTAGAAAGTGACGGTGGCTGGGACAGCTTCGTAGGCGTAGCCTTCACATTCCGTGAACTATAAGTGCAGGGTTTTGGTTTTAGGGAATGTCCGTGGTTGAACTGCCATCAGGCAGAGTTTTAGAGCGTGCGCCCCGAGACACCCCCTCACCCCCAACGTGCTCTTCTGCTCCCGGGCCTTTGACCTCCATCCTTGGTGCCACAGACACTTGCGGTGATCGTAGACTTTTTTACCTTTGCCAGCACGTCACACCCGCCACCTGCCAGCTCTCTTCCTGGTCGTGGCTGTGTCCCCGACGGTGGCCTCAGTGACGGTGGCCTCAGCCCACCTGTGGACATGGCACCGCTTTGTAACTGGCAAGTCTCGGTTGTTAGGTTGACATTTGCTTCTCATGGGACAGGCCTCGGGGAGAACCGAGATCATCCTTCCTGCCTCATTCGGACGTGGAGACGCCTCTTACATTTCTGTCATGTGGGGGAGGGAACGTCCCAGAATTACCTGTTGTGGCTCACTAGACAGAGGGCTTGGTCGAGTAAAAAGGTGAAAACGCCATAAAAACCTTCCTCTCCAAGGGCCCGGGCAGTGACGTCAACTCCTGCGTTGCTTCTAAAGTCACGACACTTGCTGCCCCGGAAGTCTAGGTGCACAGATGCCAACGTCCTCCCCTGAGTCCCAGACAGAAACCCCCCCCCCAGCCTCGAGGGCGCCATCTCTGCCCTGGGCCGCAGGTGCCAACCAGAGATCAGAAGTAGATCTGACGGAGCCTGGGTGGACTTGCTTTTATTACCCGCACGAGCCCTGGGAATCTTGGGGGGGACCTTAGTATCCTTTCAAAGATAGTTTAAGAAAGAAGCTAATTTATAAACCTCTCGACCTAGCTTTAAACAAGAATTTGTTAGAAAAGGCAAGATACAGAATTTAGCTTCGTGCTCAAAATGACTGTGCTTTGGACAGAGAGGGAAGAGTTGAAGGCAATGAAATGCACCCCAAGTTCTCTGTGAGCGACACCCTCTGGTTCTTCTCCGCCCACCGAGCCCAGGCTTCTTTCTCCTCTTCTGTACTGCCCCCCCCCCCCAGCAGGGTCCCTCCGTGCTCGGGGAAACTGACACCAACCTGGTGACTCCCACTTGCTTTAACGGGTCTCTGTGCATCTGACGCTAACACTCAGCACTGACATCGCAGCTGCCTGCAGGCCGGTCATCAACGCCCCCTGGCACCTTCCTCTGCACTGGGCCGCTGGGAGGGGGGGGGTCACCTGTCGCTGGGCTACCAGGACCCTTCCCGCAGCACGCCTAACCTTGGGGGGCCCCCGAGCAGATGTGCAAATCTGGGGACAGAGCCTTGCTCACTGAGGCTAGTCAGCGCCGTGGGAACGCCTGCCCCAAGTTTCCAGTCCGAGGTCTCCGAACAGAGACTTGTCTCTGAGGAACAGCATGTAAACACCTTCCCTGAGTCAAAACCGACACAACAATTAAAGGTTCCTGCCCTCGTCTCTGTGCCGTGGGTAGACGGTCCACCCCGTCTGCTCCCAGGACTTCCCCGCTCACGGACATTATTTTACATGGATTTCCCGTCCTGGCCTGCTGTTGGTAACTGCCCCTCGGGGTCCCGACCTCGCTGTGCCGCACGCACTGCGATCCCTCCAGAAACGACTCTGGTTTGCTCCGTGTTCCCCTTTCTGCCGCCGTGTTGCCTGTCGGGAGCAGCCCTGGAGGTGCCACTTTGCGACACTTTGCGACCACTTCGTGGGGGTCTCTCTCCACGGGAGACCCCACAGAGTAGCTGTGACGGGTTAAAGGACCAGTGCCTTTTACGTTGTTAGCCAACATTGCCAAGCTGCCCGCAGGCTTTGGGTGCCACCAGACACCCGACCGGCGACCAGTGGGGACAGGGCAGTTCTTTAGGTGAAGGCTGTGGGTCCCAAGGAGCAGCTGCTATTCAAGTGTAAAGGTCTCCAGCCAGGTAACCGATTCTAAGTCCTTCGAACCTGAGAATGCACAGCTTTTAGGAAACCAGGGGTAGCCTGGAGACTTGGGGTGCCAAGGGGTGGGAGTGGGGTCGTCAGAAAGACGATGACAGAGCGCGGCAGCGGAGGAGGCTGGGGGACCAGCAACAGAGAACTCTGAGCCACTGCAGAGTTGGGGGGACTTGGGAGGCAGGGAGCTTCTGAGTGCCCTTGGCCCCAGTGCCCCGGCTCTGCTCCCCCCTGCCCGCTCCTGTTTCTCCCCCAGGCCCCGCCTTTGCCTGCCGAGGCTCACGCACGCAGGATTTATGACTGTCCCGGGGCGGGGTGAGTCAAGGTGTGTCAGCCTGCAGGGCAAGTGACTGCAGCGGGAGGTTTCAGCCTCAACCGGCTCTCCGAATTCTTTCCTGATAGATAGTGATCCTTTCTAGGACCAGAAAGGCTCACCCAGACTCTTCCCCACTGGCCGCCCATTCAACGTGTAAATACCGAGAAATATCTGAGGGTTTTACTCAGCCCCGAAGCATTTTACATTTCTTGTCGTCCAGACAAACATGTGTTTTGTCCCCGAGAATGAGACATTTAAACTTTGCAAAGAGAAGCTTATTTAAGGCTGAATAGTCTATTTTAAAAGTTGGACTTGAGAAATCGCAACTATTGTAACCAGAGTTTTAAAATGTCAACCAAGTTGGTGGCTTTTTTTTTTTTCTTTTCTCTGCTGAGCTTGAGAATCGCCTGGGGACCTTTTCAAAACTCCTAAAGCCGGTTCCACATTCCTTCAGTCCGGAGGCCTGGGAGTGGGCGCCAGGCACCAGAGCTGAAACTAGGGGTCCTGTGCAGAAGACAGACAGATGATTCTGTTTAAAATATATATAATTTCTAGTGAGCTCGCAACAGTCATCCAGTTCAAATACTTCCAATACTGTAAGTCTTCTCCTGGGTCCGAGTTACATGATGCGCCAGGCCTAATGTACCGAGCAGGATACAAGTCTAACAACTTTGCGCCTCTGAGACTTTTGGCCGGGATTTTGGTTGTGGAATTGTCGAATACACAAAGAACACAAAGCCCAGTGTTTTCCTTGGGATTTGTGACGCGTTCGTGTGTGTCCTGGTGATGCTTTCAGCACCGGGGGTGTCTTCCATGAAAAGTGGGCGGAGGGCGGAGTGAGTGCTCTGGCCTCGCCGTTTGGGCAGCAGATACTGGTTTTACCGCTTGACGTACTTTCCCTTCGCTGCTTTAAAAATTCCTGAAAATGTCCAAAATGTGAGCCTCCCTCCCCCCACCTTCACCGCGGCGCCTCCCTGCGCGCCCCGCCCAGATCAAAGAGCCCGCCTGAGGGCCCAGGGAGTCCCCACCTGAGCCCACGGCGAGAAAACCTAGGAACCCCGGGGGGCTTTCTCCTGCAGGGGGCGGAGCTCAGAGACCAGCGGTGGGGAGGGGCTGTGCGTCCTGTCTCCCGGGACCTCCTCCCCCTGCCCCTCTGCGGAGACGCTGGCTGGGGCTTTTAAGAGGCAGTTGTTGATGCGAGGACCTGTCGCCAGGTCCTGTCACCTCCGTGGGGTCAGGAGCCCTTCCCCTTCTCTGGACCGAGGTCACCCGCGAGACCGCGCCCGCTGGCGCTACCTGCGGTTGGGGCGATGGCGCCCCCTGCACTGACCCCGGGCTGCCGCCCAGCTGAGGGTGGGTTTTGACCGCGGGTCTGAGCTCGACATGGTAAGTCTTGAGCGAAGGCAGCAAGGGTCCGAGCGAGCGGGGCGCGCCCCCTTCCCTCCCTCTTCTCTGTGTTGCCGGCACAGCTTGGACGGTCAGGCTTTGGTGGGCGCTCCCGTCCCTGACTGTGTAGGGTCTTTGCAAAAGTGCTTCGGGGGAGGAACGGGGAGGACAGGTTTAAGTGAGCGCCTCTCTAACGGCACCTGGTGGATTTGGCCAGGCCACCTCTGAGCGCAGAACTGGGCCCTCCCACCCGGCTTCGGGTGCCACGCAGGGCCTGGCTGGACCGCCCAACACGTGGCCTCCTGCTGTGTCTTGCTTGCTGTGGAGTGGACTCGAACATCACAAAGTGCTCGTGTTTTTTGAAAGTACGACTGAACCTTGTTTTTCAAAAACATCCCTGAAGGAGACCTGAACTGCCGGACGACAGCGTGTAGTTTATTTTTACTTCTGTCTCGGGAGGGAGGGGCCTCTGTTTCTTCCCCCGAGAGCCGAGCCCTTTGGCACAACCTGGCGCAGGGAAGGTCGACCAGCGCTAACGGCGGGTGACTCACCTCGCCTGACCTCCCGCTGCCCTTCTCTCCCTGCTGACGAGCGCGGCGTTTTCTGTCCGAACCTGCCTGTGATTTGCTGTGACCTGTCCCCTGCCTACAGGACTGCCAGCCAGACTCCCCGAGATCATGCTGGTGGGGGCTCAGTCCTGCTCGCCCGGGGGGCCCAATGGCATCATCCGCAGCCAGTCCTTCGCCGGGTTCAGCGGCCTGCAGGAGAGGCGGTCCAGGCAAGTCGTGGGGTCCCGCCGGGAGCCGGGAGCCGCGGAGGAGGGCGGAGGAGGATGGGCGTGCGGGTGCTGGGGAACAGTGAGCGCATGTGGCCTCCTCAGCACACACACAACGCACGCACATGCACTCACACACGCGTGTTGCCTTAATCTCTGATGCGAAAGGTGGAAGCCACCACACGGAAGCACTGGAGTTTCTTTATTCCCTTTTAAGGATCTTATTTATTTATTTTTCGACCCGGGGGAGAGGGAGAAAGAGAGGGAGAGAAAGGTCAATGTGTGGTTGCCTCTCGTGCGTCCCCTACTGGGGCCCCGGGCATGTGCCCTGACTGGGAATCCAACCAACGACCCTGTGGTTCACAGGCCAGCGCTCAGCCCACTGAGCCCCACCAGCCAGGGCTGCAGTCTCTTCTCTGTCATTTAGAATCTCCCCTGCACAGGAGGAGGCTGCAGATGGGGCACAGGCTGCCAATACAGGGGTGCAGCTCTCCCCACCACCCCCATCCTTCTCTTTTTTTAAGGTCTTTTGGTCGATATCACCAAAGAGCCTCCAGATGTTTGACCCCCTTTGTCTCTCACCAGCAAGAACAGATTCGCTTTTCTCCAGGAGTTTGTGGATGCTGAGCGTTTTCTAAAAATCTATTCCGTTTCTCACGTCGTCCCTCCTCAGGTCAAACGTCCCTCTCTAAGTTTGGTCCCTTTTGTGTTCACTTTGGAGGTGACCAGATGGCTCACGTCCCGTGCCTGCGTGGGTGTCTGCGTGTTTTCTCGCCGAACAACAAAGGCGTCTTATGTCCCCATCGCAACCCCACGCGTGTCCTGTCCTCACTGGCTTGAGTGGATACACTTTTTCCCTTTTTTGCCTTTTGACCCCGTCACCCCTGAGCTCACCCCCCACCGATCTGGTCTCTGTAGCTGTGAGCCTCGCTTCTGCGTGTGTGCATGTGCGTGTGTGTCTTTGTTTGATTTACCTCACTGAGCACAATACTTTTTTGGTCCATTCACGCTGTCACAGGCGGCTGGGTGGCCGGATGTTGTCCTTTTTTATGGCCGAGTGATAGTCCATTGCACACCGTGGTCACTTTATTCATTCAGCCAGGGAGGGGCACCTACGCTGCTTCCATGACTCCCACACTGCGCACGATGCTCCAGGGAACAGAGGGCGTGTCGATCTTCTTAGTTCCTGTTTTTGTCTTCTTTGGGTAAATACCCAGTGGACAGCGACTGCCGCCCACCACTCGCAGAGATGCTGGGCTTTACTTACGTGGAAACGTGACTCCCTCCATGAAAACAAAGCTCTAGAAAACGCGGTCAGTCGGTCAGCTCCACGTGCTGTGCTTCACTGCCACCCTGCACAGAACTAGCCATTTCCCATCCCATGCTCATGGCTCTTTATCAAGGAGGTAGTCACTCACACACTAGTCAAATTTAATAGATGCCGTGCCCGATGTGCTAATGCACAGGCGTTTTACTTGGTTTACGTCCTTGTGCTGTGTGTCATTTCCACCCTGCATGGGTCCTTGGCTCCCTGTGGGGTTTTGGTGGCCTTGGGCATTTTCACTCCAAGCACACGCTACCTGAAGCCAGGTGTCAGCTCAAGGAAGCCACCACCCAGCAGAGCTCCCAGATCTCTAACGCCCAGAAAGAAAAGGAGAGACTCAGATGGACCGCTGTGGGGGACACCGTGACCTCCCCCCAAAGCCACAAACACACACACGGGCTGACCGAAAGCACTTCCTCCACAGCGTTTCCGGCGCTAAAGCTGCTACGGTTTCTGATTTCCTTTCTCTTTCCACAGATGTAACTCCTTCATTGAAAATTCTTCTGCTGTCAAGAAGCCTCAGGCCAAACTGAAGAAAATGCACAACTTAGGACACAAAAACAACAGCCCCCCCAAGGAGCCTCAGCCGGGACGGGTGGAAGAGGTCTACCGGGCCCTGAAGGGCGGACTGGAGTGAGTAAGCACAGGAAGCCTGACCGTGAACTGGCTTCACCTCTTCCTGCCTGAACAGGGGTGCGGGGGAGGGGGGAGTGGAGGTCAGAGGAGAAAACTAGCCTCCTGGGATCACTGTTACCTGCGGTGTCTATAGCGGGTGTTTCATTCTTGCACGGTCCTCGGGGAAGCCTGCGCTGAGTCCCAGAGGTAGGACGTGTATCGGGTTCCGACGCAAGGTCCCTAACACTGGAGGAGACCCGAAGGAGTAACGCATTTTTATTGCCCTCTGTAGCGGACTAGCCCGCCCCCCAACAATGTTGGGGGGGCAGCTCTGGTTTAGAGGTTGCCTCAGGAGGTTCTGAACCACCCCCCGCCACCCCGAGCAAACTTCCGGAGCGTGTGGGGATGACCCCCAGCCCGCACTGTGCTAACCGGGCGTAGCTGTGCAAGGCTCCGCACCTGCCCGGCTCCTCCCTCCCCCCCTGGGTTTTCGGCTCCGGGCCCCCAGCCTCAGGGGGTGCTCTTTGTCCACCATCCGCATAGTCTCAGGCGCTGCCGCAGTGTCCCTGCAGACGGAGGGGGTCGGCAGCCCCGGAGCCCACTGGACAGACCCCGGGCTCATGGCTGTGCCCCACCTTCTCTTTGCAGTGAGTATCTGGAGCTCCACCAGACGGAGCTGGACAAGCTGAACGCCCAGCTCAAAGACATGAAAAGGAACTCACGCCTGGTGGGTACTAGCCAGTCAACGGGACGCTCACACCATGCTCTTATTTTTTGTTTTAAGATTTTATCTATTTACTCCTGGAGAGAGGGGAAGGGAGGGAGGAAGGGAGGGGGAGAAACATCAGTGTATGAGAAATACCTGCACACCCCCAACCAGGGACCTGGCCCAAAACCCAGGCATGTGCCCTGACTGGGAATCGAACCGGCGACCCTTTGGTTTGTAGGATGGCCCTCAATCCACTGAGGCACACCAGCCAGGGCTTTTTTTTTTTTTCTTTTCTTTTTCTTTTTAGTTTCTTTTGCTAAATATCTTTTTCTACTGCATGGAGGTGGGTAGAGAGTACCTACAAGAAGAGCAGATCAAAGGGGCAAAATACGGTCTGCTTTCTGATGGATATTTTAATGCTTTATTCTGAGTATGTTTACATATTTTCCAAGCGTGTTTATGCAGGTGAACTTTATAATCAGGAAAAATACTCCCTGTGTCCCTCCCTCAACTAATAAAAGAAAATGAAAAGTCAGAGTAGCCCTGGCATGCGGTTGGTACAGAATCGGGAGCTCAAGACCTTGGCTTTATCTCCAGTGTTTTAGCGAATGTGGCAGGCAGTGAGGGCAGAGAAGAAAAGCTGGCCCCGGAGCTGAGACCCGTGCAGCCCCCTCTCTGGGTGACTTGTGCCAGTGTGTCTGGCTGGACAGGCGTTTCTGACGCACCCACTGTTTTCAGTGATTCCGCTCCTCACCTGGAAGCACGGACCGCCTCGAGGTCTCGGAAAGCCCGGAGAGCTCTGCGTGTCCCCAGGGGGCGCCCCTGCCCCTTGGCAGCTGATCTCTCTCTCTCTCAGGAGATGGGCTGACGTGCAAACCGCCGTCCTTTTCAAGGGCTCAAGCTTAAAGGCTTTATGGAAGTCCAGGGTTTTATGTCGTAGTGATGCCAGGGTATAAACGGGCCCCACCCATGTGGAAATCCCGAGAAATGACCTTCAAGGGGTTCTGGTGCCCTTGGCCATCCTCGGTGGCAACCAGTGTCCCTTCTTGGAGGACAATGGTGAGGGGAAGGCGGAGCTTCCCCTAGCGCGAGCATCCCATAGACTCCTCCCCGTGGGGGTGCAGGAATTTGAACCGATTCCCCGTGACACCCAGAACTCACAGGACGTGAGTTTGTCCTAAAAACAATTCGTGAAAGGCGTGGTGCAGCCCTGGGGACACCCTGAATGACGACCGCACACTATTTAAGCAGTAAGGCAAGTGTATCTTCGACACCTGTGTCACAGCTACATGTTGTGGTCACACCACTGATTTTGTAAAAATGGAAAAAGGGAACATGGAAGTGAGCCCCTGGGTAGGTGAGAGAAAAGAGCTCGAAGCCAGAGACCCGCTTGAGGCCCGAAGGGGCAGGGGGTCTGGGTGGCACCGTGGAGCACGGAGCGTAAGTAAAAGTCCTCTCATTGGCACGGAAAATAGCCCAGATTTTCACTCCGCAAAAGCAAATGCCCCAAACCCCAGCAGAACCCTGCGGGCTGGTTATCATTCACTGCGTGCAGACGCAACCCCTCATTGACCACCAGGGGCGCCGCTGAGGGAGCTGTGCTCTGACTCGAGCCCTCTCGTTTCTGTTGCAGGGTGTGCTGTACGAACTGGACAAGGTGGGTTCCCGCGTGGCGTCGGGGCGTGGCGTTGGGGCGTGGCGTCGGGGCAGACGCAAAACCTGGTGTCCTGGAGCGGAAGCCGAGAGCCCCTCGGATGCACAGGGCATCCCAGGCATGCGACGGCGGTCCTAAACCCAGAGAAACATGCGTTTTTATCTATGAATTTGGCGAATAAGAACCACGATCCTCAGATCCAATAACACTTTCATAAAAGTGCCGCCCGGTGGTAGGGTTTCTGAGTGTGTGGGGATCCTGCCTGCTCTTCTCCATAAATGTTAACCCTCAGGGTCGATCAAATCCAGATCTTTGATTGGAAAATACCCCATTACCTTGTATGTTCCACCAAGAAACAAAGAATGATTCCAGTTACTCCAAGACACAGTTCTTTCTTTTCACTCAAAGTGTGTATTTGGTACTCAGTGCCAAGGCTCTTTGAAGCTTATTTTTAATGTAGATTACTTTTAATGTAGATTATTTTTAGGTGCGTATGGAGCTGTCTCTTTTCGTGCCTCCTGCACATACAGCACCCTTCACGCTGAATCAGGTCCTGTCTGTTTGCAGACGTTTGAAGGAGTAATTAGACTTAATGCACATAATAGTAATATTTGTAACCCAAACGAAGAGATGACGCGGAAACCACCGTGATCGCCTGTGAGCGTGCACAGGCATGGCAACTGTGCAAAGCACCTCCGTGTCAGAGACAGGAAGTGTGGGGGAAAGTTCATCTCTGAGCTGATCCACTGGGTTATTATGGAGGAGTTTGGTCAGTTTCCACGACGATACTGTTTGGCCGGAAATCCAGTAAATTGCATTCGATTGGGCTTCTTGATGTGAAACGCAGGTTCCAATAATGGAGCAAGTGCACCTCACAGGACACGTGTCCAGTGTTTTAATGATGCTCTCAGGCTGATCCTGGAGGCTCTCGGACTAGCACCAGGGACAGGGCAGGGGAGGGCTCGGCCTCTGGGGGACCCCGGGGATGCGATGGGAGAGGTTGCCCGGGGATGCGATGGGAGAGGTTGAAAGTCGCCGTCTGGACCAGCTGCACTGCACTGAAGCTTTCTCAAACGTCTCCTTTTAATTCCAGCAAATTAAAACGATCGAAAGATACATGAGACGCCTGGAGTTCCACATCAGCAAGGTAATTGCCCTCCCCGCTGCCTCTGCCTGTTCTCCCTCCTGTTACCAACCAGTCCCCTTGGGCCTGAGCTGAGCTGGTGCTCTGAGGAGTCTCCATACAAATTGACTCCTAGGCTGATTAGCAATTAAGACCAACAGGCAGGAAAGACGGAGGAACGGTGAGACTGGAGAGCCTGGCGCCCCAGCACGGCTGTGGCCGCGCTTTGGCCCCGCAGCCACGGTGCCGAGGTGCAGGGCCGCCCAGGGAGGGGGACCGGGGGCCAAACCCGGCCTGCAGGAAACATCCCCTTGCCCCACTGCACCGTCCGGCCGCACACCAACTCGGCACCCCCGGCACTCCTTCACGGAGGCCGTCGGGGCACTTTGGGACACAGGCCGGTGCCTCTCTGAGTCTGTCTCCAGTTCTGGGTTCCTCCCTGCTTCCTCACACGGCCTGGGTTCCCGGCACCTTTGCGTTATCGGTGGCCCCTGGACGGGCTCCAGCCCTGAGCCCTACACACAGTTCACCGGTGGTCCGACCAGCCAGTGGGGCGCGGGGCTGTCTCCCCTGTTCTGAGCACCGTCAGGAGGTGCACCCCAGAAGAAGTCTCCTTGGGAGCCAGTAAGCCACAGCGGCCACAGTCCCTGTCCCCACCCACACTCGTCAGCCTCTCTTCCAAGTGCAGAGCCCGGGGTTAGCCTCCCTGCGCTGGGACTTGGAAGCCTCCGGGTCTAGGCCGCAGTTCCCTGGGCTGAGCCGTCAGCGTGGACCTTGGCCTTGCGCTCTGGGAAGTGGGATGTGGGCGGCACCTGTGTTCTATCATGATGATCCTAAGAATCCTTTCCTCTTATTACTTATTTGTTTACTTATGAAGCCTCACCTGAAGATAAGTGTGTTGATTTTGCAGCAAGAGGAAGGGAGAGAGCAGAGAAACATTGATGTGAGGGAGAAACATTGATTAGCTGCCTCTTGTAGGCACCACAAACCAGGGATCGACCCCCCAACCTAGGTATGTACCCTGACCGGGAATTGAACCCATGACCGACCTTTCAGTCTGCGGGACCACGACGCTCCAACCTACTGAGCCACCCGGCCAAGGCAGAACCCTCTCCTGTTAAAATGTGGTGACGGCTTTATACATGGATGCTGCTGCCTCTGCACCCTCCCACTTCGAAAGACCACCACGGCCTCAGCTGATTGAAACGGCTCCTGTTTCCGCCGCCCTCAGTACCTGAAACAGAGAGGCCGCGAGGAGGTATCTGGGTGGCGGGCAGGCTCTGACCCGCTTCCCTGTGTAGTTTGCAAAACCGAAAGGAAGCAAGATCAGTGTCAGGCAGGCGTGCGTTTCTCCACCGTCCTGGTGGGAGGCCGAGGTCCCGTGGTCACGGGAGGTTGGGGCACCCTGTTTGCAGCACCGATACCCAGGATGAGTCGGTGGATCCGTTTATTTGACGCAGAGCCACACGCTTGCCTGTAGATGGGCCAGCTCTGCTCAGACGCATGCAGTTACTCTGTATCCTAAAGCGGGAGTCCATTTGGCTGGGACAGGCTAGCATTTAACTCAAACAAAGAATACACTTCTCTTTAAATGCATAGTAACAGATTGGGCCATTAGGGCCAACGCAGGGGTTCAGGGAGAAATTTTCTTACTGAGAGGGTCACAGTGGCAGAGATTCTGGTGGGAAAAGGGTCGAGGGGTGTCCCCCAGGACCACAGGGTGGCTGCCTGGCCGGCCACGAGGGAGGCCCAGTTCTGGCACCCCTAGAAGTCGTGTGGGGCCACTGCCCAGCCAGAGCCCTCTGCCGAGGTCTGAACATTCCAGACCCCTGGCTCAGCCCCCACATCTCAGAGGAGGGCCTGGGCAACCACATGTGACCAGCGCACCTGGTGAGTCTTAGCTTCAAAATACAGCAGCCACCTTCGAGGCCAGTCACCCACCAAAAGATGTCATCAGTGGACAGGCCACTGGAGGCCTGGACCCCCGTCTTCACTAGAGGCAACCCCATCCGCCCCAAAGACGAGGGACCGTTCTGTTCTTGCCCGAGTCTGGCAGTTCCTCTCGGCACAGTGGAGTGAATCGCTGGACGAGGGAGTGACGGAGGCCTCTCTGGCCCAGAGAACCACCGCCAGGGTCTTCGTGTGCCCACACTGAGCTCGGGCCTCCGGAGGGAGGAGGCAGTGACCGGGAGCCACCGGCTCTAGCGGTGGTTGTGACGCTTGTCTGTGAGCAGCCGCCAACAGCACAGACAGGGAGCCCCCACCTCCGGAGTCCGAGAGCTTCACCTCCACCTCCTCCTGGGCTCCGCAGTGCCGGCCCCCTTCTTAGGAACAAAGCTGGTGCTGTGATCAGACATTCAGGTGGTCCTCTGCAGGAGGGGAGGGGAGGGGAGGGGAGGGGAGGGGAGCGGAGCGCCCCCCCAAGCTGCTGCCTCCCCTTGCGTCTGCGGATGCCGTCTACCTGCCCGACAAGCCCCTCGGTGGTCTGCAGGGAGTGTGTGGGTAGCCGGGGGTGGCACAGGACCTCCCCGGTTCACGTCACCAGGAGTACCTTCCGAACAGGTGCCCTCCACCTTGCAGTGCTGGCATCTCGGGGTAACTCTGGGGGGAGCAGGGGCTGTCCTCCGCTGTACAGGACATTGAGCAGGATCCCTGACCACTGCCTCCCATCCTCGACCCTAAAAAATGTGTCCACGTGTGGCCCAAGGTCCTGTGGGTGTCAGAGAGGCCTTGGCTGACAGAGACTCCCCCTGCGCCCCAGCAGCACTAGTGACGATCAGGCTTGTGCTGAGTGTGATCGGCTGCAGTGTGTGGAGGGAGTTTAGAGGCTTCGGCGTGGCGGCGTAGCTGCGACATCTCTCGTTTCCATTGCTTCCATTTACTTTTTAATTGTGCTAAATTTACAACAAACATCCCAGGTCTTAGTGTTTGGTCGGATACCTTTCTACAGCCGTGCGCCAATCTAATCTCCAGCACAACTTCATTCTCTCTTGTTATCGTGGAGCTGAGTTTGCACATATCCTTTTTATCAACTCGCCTCGGGTTCTCTCTTAAAAACAGTGCTCGATCTGGGTGTGTGGCTCTCGCCCTGTGACGCTGTCTGTGCAAACTCAGCCGAGCCGTCATCCCCACGGGGAGCAGCCGTGAGGCCTCCGTGTGTCCTGGGTGCACGTTTCCACTCCTGCCCCACGCGGTCTGCCCACCTGTGGTTCTTCCCCACTGTGTGTGCTTGGAACGCGGCTCAGGGACCTGTCATGTGTCGGGGACAGTGGGTCCCAGGGGCAAAAATGAAAGGCCTGGGTCTCTGCCTGCAAGGGCGATGCCGCTCCAAGACCGTGACACCGGCCACTGCTTCCCACATGATCAGGACTCACCTCCTCGTGTTTCCGGTTCCCTCCCTGCAGGTGGATGAGCTCTACGAAGCTTATTGTATCCAAAGGCGCCTGCAGGACGGGGCCAGCAAAATGAAGCAGGCCTTCGGCGCGTCGCCCGCCAGCAGGGCCGCCCGCGAGAGCCTGGCGGAGGTGCACCGCAGCTACAAGGAGTACACGGAGGTAGGACCCCCGCCCGCCGCGTCCCGGCCTGGTGGCCCGCACCGGGCCAGAACAGGGCGCACCCTGCCCTGGCCTCACCCCACTCCTCGGGCAGACAGGCCCCCTCTTGGCCTCGCTTGCTTTTTTTTTTTTTTTTGAGGCTGACAGTGGAATTGTTTAAAATGACACCCGAGTGGTTCTCCAGCCTCCAGAGGACGGGCCTTGGCAGTCCGGGAGCGCCGTCCTCGTGCCCTGTGACCAGCGCGTTCATGCACTCTTCCAGCCACACGGGGCCGGACGCCCGGGGCCACTCCCCGGCCAGGGCGACGCGGCCCTGTGTGGTCTGTGCCCGTGGACACCACAAATGCTGCTCGAAATCCCAGGGGGTGACTGAGGAAGCCGCGGTGCCCTGGTTTTAAATCACTTCCGAATCCTCATGCTTACAGTCCCCTCGAGCTGTATTTCCGGGAGCCGACTGGACCGGGCGGGGACGATCACCCCAGAGAGTGGCTGTCATGGCAGTACGGTGTCCCCTGCTGCCCGCCATCAACTTAGTGCTAGAAATTTCTCTCCTTCAGGGAGACCAGACAAAGAGCCCCGGACTGGAGTGCTGTCCCGGTTTCTGACTGTCTCCTGGGCCCCAGCACATGACACAGGCAGGTCTCTGCCCCTCCAGGGCCACCTGACACCAGCGCCTCTGGCGAAGTGACTGAATTATTGAAGCCTCCTTCTCGCTGTCCCGGGAGGCGCTGCTCAGAGGTCAAGTTTCCCGGGTGAAGTCATCACTCAACCAGGGGCTGCTGCCCGATTCCCAGGGTGGGCGTCTGCTCAGTACGTGGGACCGAGGGACCTCTCGGGTGACAGGCGGCCTGTGTGTCAGCCCGGCACGCCTGGGCGTCACCGAGTTTGCTCTAGAGTGGGGGCTTCTTTCCCCCAGGGCCTCTGAAGGATGAAGCTTTTTAAGTGCAGAAAGTGAAAGCAGGCCTGCGAAGAAAGGGCTGCTTCGGAATTGTGAGCGCAGTTAACACAATGGGGAAGAAGCCGAGTGTGAGCCATAGTACAAGGGCCGCTGCTCTCCTGGGACACCGGATCGGACGATAAGCTCCAACGCTGGCCCCGGGTGTTGGGGATCACGAGGCGCAAGGCAGTGGAAGGTAGAGACAGTTTCAGGGTGTCTGCAATAAACCACGGACGGCTTCTGTCCCCATCGGAGTGGTGGGTACTGGTAATACCCGTGGCCTGTCTTCTACCTTCCTGACATATTGACGTGTCCATTGTTAGTCTGTGGAATAGTGTGACTTTCTCCCCACACCCCCCCCGCCTACCCCACCCAAGTTGATGAACCCGCAGGTTGAGAACCCCGGGCTCAGGAGCAGCCTCCTTCGGGAGCCCATTTCTGTTCGTCTCTGAGAGCAAGCGCGGTTGCCAGGCCTAGAGGCTGTTCAGTCCCCAAGCTGCCGAGCTGCCGGGCCCAGAACAGCTGCAGGTCCTCTCAGGAGGACCCACCCTTGGTCCACAGCCAAGATATCATGCTTTGCTCACAAGTTCAAAGCCGCAGAGGCAATTTCACTGAAGAGCTGTCTCAGAGAAGAAAGCACGCAAGCCTCTTATAATTCACGAGACCTCAGGTGGTTTTGCACCTCAGGCCGAATCACAAAACCCAGGATTTTACACAAAGAACACTCAGGGCACAGGGGCGCTGGGGGCCCTGGCAGGTGACGCTAGTCCTCAAGGGCCACCTGGTGAGACGGAGGAAAGTTCTGGCCCTGGGGGACGCCCAGCTGTTCCAGGATCTGCCCCGCTTTTCAAGACCCTGGTGGCCACCCTGACAGGCGAGACAACATCGCTGACGCTTCTGGAAAGTGAAATGCGTTCCTTCATGGAGACGCCCAGCCTGCAGGGGAGAGACTTGTTTACGATCCGAGACTCTGCTCTCGGAGCTTCCCATCAGCAGCCAGCTCAGGCTGCAGGAAGCATGCCCCCCCACCCCCACCCCCACTCTGCTAAGCTAGGTGAGCGACTAAGCTTCCCCAGAGCAATGACTGGGAGTGGATCAGAGCCCCCAGCCCCACAAACCCATCCCGAGGCCTCAGCAAGCAAAGCTCAAACGGCAGCAGTCCCTGCAGGGCTCACGGAGCTGCCAGGCCTCAGCACCAGCACCGGCACCGGCACCAGCAGGCCGAGCTGCAGACGGGCCACAGCACTGTTCAGTTCTAGCCTCGATGGCCCCGTGCGGGCTCTCGGGGACCGGTCACCCACGCACAGACGGGTCCCTCCTGCTTCCACTTCCCTCGACATCAGGGTGAGGACAGGACACGGGTCGGACCCAGGAGCCACGCTGGGGCACTGAGGGGTCAGCATCAGGCCCCCCACTGCACCCACGTGGAGTGGAGTGGAGCCCCAGTGCTCTTTTTGCCCCGATGTTTTATCAAGAAAAATTCCCAACTTACAGAAAAGCCGAGACTGGTACAATGCACAGGACACTTGCACCTGGTTGTAACCGCGGGTGACGTTCTCCTGCCTGTGTTTTCCCTCCCTCCTGAGCTCAGTTTTCCCCCGTTTTTGCGGAGTCATTGAACCGTCGGCGGTAGATGTCAGGGCACCTCACCCCACAAACGCTTTGCACGGATTTCTTAACCGTGACCCACATGACCCTCGGAAGCCCAGCCTGACCACCCGTACATCCCGTTATCACGGCTCAGAAAGTCAAGTCACGCTACAGAATCACCGAGATCCGGCGTGTTTTCGGATTTGCCCAGTTTCACCCAACCAGTGTCTTTGTCCCCGTTTCAGTTTATGCTGTTGTCTCGGAAACCAGGTGAACACACTTCGCCTGGTCATCTCTTTAATCTAGATAATTTTCCCCTCAATGCTGCCGTTTTGTAGAATTCAGGCCGGTTCTCACAGAACACCTCACATTCTGGATTTGGGGGTTTATGATATAATTGAGCTTGTTCTGTGCTCCTGAGCTTCCTGGGCACCGGAAGTCTTGCCCAGACCTGGGCTAAACATCGTGTCGAGAACTCGGTGCTGGGTAGCCCACCCAGAACGGATCGGGGCACCCCAGGGTTCACGCGCACTGCCAGTGGGTTCACGCTCACCCAAAATGGTTTTGGTGCACCCTGGGGCACACGCTCACCCCGAAGTGGGTCGGTGCACCCCAGGGTTCAGGCTGTGACAGCCGCTCGGGCCTGGGGCCGGTGGGGAAGCAGGGAGCGCTGACCAGCGAGCACTGACCAGCGCCGTCTCCCCTCCCCCACAGAACATGTGCACCATCGAGGTGGAGCTGGAGAAACTGCTGGGCGAGTTCTGCATCAAGATGAAAGGTACGCTGGGGCTGCTCTGGTTCCTCGCAAGGACCTCGGCCCTCCCGCGTCTGCTAGTTCCCGGACGCTCCGAGCCTTCTCGCTCTGGACCTGCCTGCACCCTTAGAGGTTTATTACGGCAGCACCTCAGACACACGAAGGCAGAGAGACTCTTACAAGGAGCCTCCGTAAGCCCGTCCCCTACACTGAGTAATTAGCAGGCTCTCGCCCTGTTTCCTTCATCTGCTTTCTTTGTTTTTCCTTTGATGAGATAGAATCTTGTCTGTCGGTTAAGAAAGCGTAGACGTGGGCGTCCGCCCCTGCAGACTGCAAGACTCTGCTCCCACGGGGGCAGCCCCTCACGGAGCCGTACGCCCGCACCCCCGAGTCTCACAGAATGAAGGGGTCTGGGTGCGCCCAGTCCACCGTCAAATTCCCCCAGTCGTCTCGGAAATGCTTTGTACAGTTGATTTGTTCAAAGCGGGACCCAAACAGGGGCCGGGCCTCATGAGAGGTCATTGGGGAGATGTTTAGGGCTCCTTCCGTCTAAAACAGACCCCTCCCTGTTCTTCCGTCCCCTTGACTTGCTGTGGAAACTGTTCTCCCTCAGAATGTCCCAAAATGCTCTTGATTTCGCTGCCGGCCTCTTCCCGGTGTCATTCAAACTGGTCCTTGGGGCCCCATGTTCCCTTTAAACTACCCACCAGTTTTTTAATTTTATCGTATTTGTGCTAACCCCCCGCCCCCCAGAGGTCTGTACATTTCCTTCTTTCTGCCGGTGACTTTCTGGTGTTTACTCTGGACAGTCCCCACCTCGGGGCGTTTCTGACCGGGAGGCCACAGTGACCGGGCCCTGGGCTCAGCATCTGTATTCGAAGCCCATTCTTAAGTCCCACGGGTCCTCACCTGAGTCAGTGGTTCCGAAACCACGTGAGCCCAGCCCCACCCCAGCAAGTCGGGAGGAAGGGAGAGAGAGGGGGAGTGAGAAGCATCAGTCGGTTGCCTTCCATACGCGGCTGGACTGGGGATGGAACCCACAACCTTCTGGTGTACGGGACAGCGCTCCAACCCACAGAGCCACCCAGCCAGAAGTATGTCTGTGTTTACACGTACTCTCAGAGTGACTCTGTCAGCACCTGAATCCGGAAAACAGACACTTGCCCTCCCGCCCCGACTCGCGGGCACCGGCCACGCAGACTCCCGCACTGGTGCGGCCTCGAGTCCGAGAACCGCTCAGATCACACACGTCTCCCCGGGGATGCAAGGCCTGCCATATATCCCACCCCCATCTGCTGCTCACGCTCACCACAGGCACCGTTTGGGGTGGGGGACAAGTGCCCCACCTTCCCGATGGAATGTGGGGGTTCAGGCGCCCGCCCCAGAAGTCAGGCCGGAAGTCGGAGTCAGACCTGAAACTGACGCCCGGGGCCCCTGGTTCCTCCTACATCCCCAGCCGGTGACAGCAGGGCTGTCCCCACGCAGCTGAGTGGACCCAATGGAGTGCCACTCCCAGGATGGCACCTGGCACCCGGGCACCTGAGAGTGGGCGGGGACAAAGGGAGCCCTGCCCCCCAAGCCTGGAGCTGCAGGGCTGGTGGTCAGTGAGAGGGGGCTGTTGGGGGACAGACTATGTCCACTGGGGGACTGAGGACTCTGTGTCCCCTCCCTGTCCGTCTGCATCTCTGTCTCTTCTCTGTCCTGCCTGGTCCACGCCCCCGGTTTCTCTAGACTCGGGGTCCCCCCCAGGAGGTCTCTGGGGCCTGAAGCTGAGACGCTCCCTTCTCACTATAGATGTCCTACCTACACTTCCGTAATCTAACAGGAGAACTCGAAAATGCTCCGTGGAAACGCTCCCCTCTCGATAAAGAGAAGCCCTCTCCCACTGCCCGGAAATCTCCCAGTGAGGCGGGCGGTTAGCTACTTTCTTATCTGTTCTTCATTCTGGTAAAAAATAACCAACCGACACAGAAAAGGAGGATGTTTCATAACATCCTCAGACCTGGTAGCGCAGCTTCCTCCGGCCACACCTGTGCACACTTCCCTTTTCGCCCCTCCCCCAACACACAGAAACCCAGCTTGTGCGGGGGGCTGGGGAGGCAATGAGATAAAGACGATTGGTCAGCGCTGGGCTGTGTCCTGATGGGCTGCCCTTGGCCTGGAGAGCCACACAGTCTCCTGGAGGAAGTGGGCGCCTGAGCCACTGCCTTCTTTTCGGGGAAATAAGGGACCTGCTGGGCCAGGAGGGCAGGGCCAGATTGCTGGGGGTCCAGGACCAGAGGGTGGGTGCCTGCCGCTATCCTGTCCGGGCGGAGGAAGGCTCCCCCGCGACCTCTGAGTCTGAGCGTTGCTCAGCAGCTGTTACCCGAGGGCAGAGAAGGTTTGGAAATGACGAGTCTGAAACCCGGTTCCCAAAGGAAGCTCCGGGCAGGGACACCACACGCTGGGGAGCTGCCGCCATCTAGGGGCAGATCTGGCAAACGCAGGCGCTGTGGCCGCCTCCCTTCTCTCCCCACACCCTGCTGCTGGCAATGCCAGTGGGTTCAGTCTCACAGCTCAGCAGTGCTCTTCGTGCGTGGAAGGCAAAACACGCTGTGACGCTGCCCCCGTCACTCCGAGGGGGTGAAGTCACGTGTTAACTAATACAAAAGCAACCAAGATCTCGGAGGCCACAAATGTCAGGGTGAGCTGGCCTGGACACGCAGCAGGCTTTCAGGAAAGGTTAGACAACTCTGGCCGCCCAGGCCCTGTGTCCCGGAGGTGAAACCCCGTCAGTCACATGCTCCCATGAAACCAGCCCACGTGAAATGGGACAGTCTCTTTGTGTTGTGACTACACAAGGAACACGGCCGTGGAAAACCTCGAAACACAGGAAGAGCAGGGGTCCCCTTCTGCTGTCTGTCCCCCTCACGTGTGCAGAGCTGCTCTGTCTTTCGTATGGATGACACCTTTCGTATGCACCATGCAGGCCACAACGTAGCACCTGCATGTATATGCACCGCCACTCTCCCCCGAGCACCTACTGTGTGCCTGACACCTACTGTGTGCCTGACGGGTTGTCTTGCAAACCATCCCAGGGAGTGGACGCTGTTATCCCTCTTTCAAAGGTGAAGACAGCGGAGTTAGGTGAATGATACAGAGCAGGGTAGCTGGTAGGTAAATGAGAAGCCACCTGGGGGCTAAACCCTCCTCACGGCCTGCAGCTCCTTCCTGTGGGCTTGAACCGCCTTCTGCTGTCTGTGTATGGTGGGTGTCTGGAAAGTCTGCCTTGATTTCCAGATTGCTGCCCCAAAGCCTAGATCCCCACACGCAGTGAGCACTAAGTAATATCTAAAAAAGAAAGAGAAGTTGGGGTTCCTGAGATGCTCTGAGATAGTGCACACCTTGACTGAAGACCCGGCTGTCATGCCGTGTCTCAAATGTGAGCAGATCCCGTGAAAAGGGACTTACTGGGTGGGGCAGCAGAGGAGATGCCCCCCCCTCCTGTTGGTGGTGCAGGGGGTCTGCATTTGGTTGGTTGCTTTGCTTTGGCTTCTTTGTCCCTCGCTTGCTGTCGATGGTCATCTTTCGCGTTGGGAGATTTCCTAACGCGGTACAGGTTGGTATGGTGATTACACAGAGCAAGGAAATCCCTGGAGCGGGTGAGCTGGGGAAAGGCAGCGGACGAGTCTGCGAACCTCGGCCCAAACCGGAGGCCCCTCCGGAAATCGCACCTCTCAGGACAGAAAGGGAAGCAAGAGCTCGGGGTATTTCCGTGAGAATATTCGGGGCAGTTTTCCGTGATCCTGGAATCTGCCCGGACCTCACACCGGCCCAATGACACAGGGAGCTGCAGCCCGCGCGAAACAGCCTTCCAGGCCCGGAAAGCCCCTCCCACCCCCGGGAGCCCCTCCCACAGATGGGTGGCCCCAGACTTGGCTGCAGGAGTTCGCAAAGATCTGACCCTTGACCTGTCCCGAAGTCAGGGTGCGGTCGTAAAGATGGAGGTGTTTGCAGCTCACATCCCACCGCTTCTTGCAGGTCTGGCCGGCTTCGCGCGCCTGTGTCCCGGAGACCAATACGAAGTGAGTGTCCTGCGGCGCTGGGGTCTGGGTGGAAGGCTTGAGGGAGAGGGATCAGAGGTCGTCATTACACTTCTTAAATTATCTTTCTTCTTCACATGTTACTTTTGGGGGGAAATGAAGCCAACAAAAGTTTGTACAGCGATACATGACCCCCCCATGTCACTTTATCCAGACTCACCGATTTTTAACACGACGCTCTGTTGGCTGTATTATTATTGTCACTATTGCCATTGTTGTTGTTATTTTGCTGAGCCGTTCTAGAGTGAGGCGCTAACACCCTGACCCTTCACCCCTCAGTTCTTCTAAGAATGTGTCAACCGAAGAACGTGCAACACATAGGAAAGTTTTAGAAGGACTTATTTGCGCCCACATTTTGAGGAGTTGCCCAGAAGCCGGATCTCAAGGGGTGGAAAAATGCACCCGAGGAGGGCAATTTTTAGGCTTATTTATACATTGGAATCAAGGGGCCTGCTGGGAATCCACGGTCGTAGGTGAGGCGGGCGAGAGAAAGCAGAGCAGGGAAAGCTCTAGGATTGGCTAAACGGCAAAATGCAGAAAGAGATACTTCTCTCCTATTGGTGGGTCCGCGGTGGTTGACAGGCAACGTTCGCAGCACGTAGACGTGGCGCGCGGGCAGCGTTGAGAGAGTGGGTCGCCCTGCACTCTGCTGGGATGCTGAGTGCGCCCGGAGTTGATCCAGGAAAGAAGACCCCCCACGCGTCCAAGGCCCGTGACCCTCGACCCAGAAGGAGAGTGGGCGGGGCTCCCTCTAGGGGAAGACAGGCCTTTGCAGAGGAAGCTCCGACTAATAGCAAAGCAAAGCAAAGCATGTCCACTGTAATCAAAAATAAATTTAAAACGTGTACTTGTAAAGTAAAAAAAAAAAAAAAAGCTTTTTATCTTGCCCCCATTCAAAAGGGAACCTACATAATTTTTTATCTCCTCCCAAACGCTCCGTAATCAAACTTCTTGGGGAGAGGATCCCCTAAACATTCAAGGGCCTGCCGCCCAGGGTCAGGTTTCAGAGCTCTGGCCCAGCTCTGACTCTGTCATCCGGAGGGCAGATGTGTTACTTCTCGCTGTGACCGTGCTGTAGGTTTTAGCTGACGGGGGTGGGGGCCTCTGTCCTGACCAGAGACAGAACTGTGATGGGTGTGAGCCGCAGGCGGGGTGCGGTGGCCTTGACCGGAGAAAGGGCCCCCACCCGGCCTCAGAGCCAGAGCTCTCGCCCAGTTTCCTTTCTCCCGCTGGAGCTCCAGGGGAGCTGGAGGCCAGGACGGCGGGGCAGCCCCGGCCCTCAGGTGGTGCGGTTTGGTGGGACGGCAAGTGCGGGCAGCGGGACTCGCGCTGTCTGGTGTCTCCCCAGATTTTCATGAAGTACGGCCGGCAGCGGTGGAAGCTGAAAGGCAAAATCGAAGTCAACGGCAGGCAGAGCTGGGACCGAGAGGAAATGGTGTTCCTGCCCCTGATCGCTGGGCTCATCTCCATCAAGGTAGAGCGCCCCCTGGCCGTCAGGCGTCTCCCTGCACGGTGGTGACCATGGGGAGGAGGCTGCTCTGTAGCTGGCAGCTCAGGAGGGTGGGCCAGGGACACCGCCTCCAGTGTCAGCTGACCCGGTGTCCTACCTGCCGTCTCCACTCTCCCCCAAAGTCTTGCCCTCTCTCTCTCTCTGTAGGTCACAGAGGTCAAAGGGCTGGCGACCCACCTCCTGGTGGGCAGCGTGACCTGCGAGACCAAAGAGCTGTTTGCAGCCGAACCTCAGGTGGTGGCTGTCGACATCAATGACCTCGGCACCATCAAACTGAACCTGGAAATCGCCTGGTAGTAAGTAGTCTTTGTGTGGTTTCCTGAGTAGAAACACAGGCAACAGGCTGGGCTGGACCCTTGGCATCTGGGGAGCTTGCTCCGGAAGCCAGTGCTCAGGCCCCACCCCGACTCCCGGTGACGGCCTTGTGCAGGGCCACTCTCGGGGTGACGTTCCAATTCAGAGAAGCCTGCCTCTGTGCCATGGTCCTCGCTGATGTCCCGTTTTATAACAGTTCACCCTGCCTCCTGCCTGCGGGCCTCCCTTTAAACGTGCATAAGGAAGTAGGCCTCTCCAGTGAGCTGATGTGGAAGAAAGCGGTTCTGGGGTTAGGATGGACTTGAGCACAATGAATGAGGTGCTTCCTGGCCTGCGGGCCGGCGACCGTGACCACCTGCCCTCAGGGGGACCCGTTGTTTTCCAGTCCATTCGACCTGGAGGATTCGACCCCGTCCTTGGGCGCGGGGAGCAAAGCGGCCGCCCTGCAGAGGAGGATGTCCATCTACAGCCAGGGCACCCCGGAAACGCCCACCTTCAAAGACCACTCCTTCTTCGTAAGTGCAGTGGGATTTCTGGAGTGGGGACGTGCTTGGCTTCTCAGGACTTCCCAATGACGGGACTCTTAAGTTCCCCCTGCTCTGCTCCTGCGGGGACTCTCCCAGGTGTCTCCAGTCCACACACAGGCGTGAGCCTCTCTGCCTTCCCTGTCCCCTCCCCTGCGCTACCTGGGGCTTTGACAGGTAGACTCCCCCCAACCTTCTCTGAGATGAGCGTTTGAGAGACGGAGATGTTTTCATCAGAAACGCTTGCCCAAAGCTAACCCGTAACCTGGTGCTCTCCCCGCCCCTCCCCATCCCTCCCCATCGCTCCCCGCTCCTCCCCGGCTCCCGAAGAGATGGCTGCATCCTCCCCGAGACAGGCCCGGGCTGTCTGTCTTGAGGGCCTTGCGAGACTCGCTCTTTGCCAAGCTGCGCCGAGGCCACTCTCTGTGCGACCTGCCCTCCCTCAGGCTGAGGCCCAAGGCTGCGCGAGAGTCCTATGTGAGTGCGAGGCCGCTGCGCGGAGCGGCTCGGCTGGCGGCCCGTGTGCTCTGTGTGTCTGCCCTCGTGTCCTCCTCTCTGCCTCGCTCACTGGGTGACTGCGCCCACTGGCCTGTCCCCAGGCCGGGACACTCGGTGGAGAGGTGGTTTGTCTTTCTCTTCTAACGCTCCCTGCTGTTGCGCTGCGATGTGTCTCTGCTGTGGCAAAGGTATCCGTGGTCACCAGGGTTTCATTTTCACAAAACACGGGCGCGCCTGAGGTCAGAGAAGGTGTTCTGTCCCGGAGACAAGCTAGCCTTCCCAGTCTTTACGCACGGTCGAAAAACTGGTATTTGAGGAACTCAGGGGACTGAAACCCATTTTACAAGGGCGGTTTTTACTTAAAAAGGTTCTCGGTCTTATTTATTGTCATGTTTATACAAGACCCACTTAGTAAGAGAAATGAATTCGCAGTCGGGGATGCAATTGGTAACCACAGTGTGTGTGGTGTGCACTGCGTCACAGGGGAATGCACACGCACACACATTCACTTCCACACACACACACACAGCTCCTTTTAGAATGCACCCCCCTCCTCCCATGCACCCCCCAGCTGGATGCGGGAGGCGGCGTCCTGGCTGGGCCCCCCCATCACCTCACACCTGCACTGACGCACAGCACCCCCCGCCCCACTGCCCAGCGCCTGCTGCACAGGCAGAGCCCGGAGGAAACAAGCTGGGGTGCAGTGAGGAGCCTCCTCGCCCCCCCACACCTACCCTGGACTCTGAGGAGCCGGTTCAATAATCAGTAATGGCGGCTGCGACTCAGCCTGAGCGGCGGGTACACGCCCTGCTTGCAGGGGCTCCGTGAGAGCCCCCAGAGCCCCCGAAGGAATTCTCTGGTTCAGGTTGCCTCCCAGCCAGAGGAGCCTGGGGGCCGAGGTGACCTGGCCGCGGGGGTCAGGGGGTCAGGGTCCGGTGGCCCCAGACTCACTGGCGGAGGACATCAGGGATCTGTCTGTCTGTCTGCCCCCCCCCACACACACACAATGTTCCCCTTGATCTAGCACTTTGTTATTACCAGCACTGTTGGGATAATTCGATGCTTTATTAGTACAAAGAGAACACATTTACCTAAAAATCAAATCTGGAATCCAAGAGAGAGCATCCGTGTCCAAGGACCCGGCCTCAGATAACTAGAGAATGTCCCCAGCTCAGGCTGGACACTTGGACACCACCCAGCCCACAGGGGAAGGACGCTGACCCAGAAACCGCTCGATGGACCCTTCTTGGCTACCTGGATATTCCCGCCCTCTGTCTCCCAGTCCTGCCCCCCAGGGGCAGCCGCCTGACCTGCCTGGGGCTGCGCATGCGCAACAGAGCTCAGGCGCCCGGACGCCGGGTGGCGCTGGGTCCGCAGGCCTGGACGACAGACGCTCGGTGTGTCGGTCTCTCTCCTCTCGAAGACGCGATGCCAACGTCTCTCTTGGCCTGGAATCACCCGTGATGTGGTTACAAAATTCACACAGCATCCCAAGAGCTTGGGACTTGTGGGTAGAGATTTCCAAACAGTGATTTACAAGGACCAAAGTAGAGCAAAAGCATCGCGTCTTCTGAGTGAAATAGCGTGAATGTTGGAGCCTTTTCAGCTAGATGCCAAATAATAATCACCATAATAATTAATAAGTAAATAATGGTGATGTCACTCGTGACTGCGTCGGCCAAGTAGTGTGAAGTCCTGGGTGTAGGAACAATTTCCTTTCCAGGCGGCCAGCCCTTTCTGTGGAAAAAATAAAAATTTTGAAAGCCAACAAAATGTCAATGAACTTTCACCTATTCCACATGGAAACAGAGCTTGTAAAGGCTTCTTTTCTTTGGCCAGGTGCACACACACACAAAACCAGCAAACAAAATGCTACTACGATGCAAGTTCTGGGTTTTTATTTTAATGGGTTTATATTTTATCTGGAAGCCCACCACGCGCAATGCCTTGCTCGTAGTTAAAATAACAACTCGATGTGTCCCGGCTTGGTGTGGCTCGGTGGATTGAGTGCCGGACTGCAAAGCAAAGGGTCCCTGGTTCAATTCCCAGTCAGGGCACACACAGGTCTGTGTTGCAGGCTGGGTCCCCAGTAGGGGGCGTGCGAGAGGCCACCACACATTGATGTTCCTCTCCCTCTCTTTCTCTCTCCCTTTCCCCTTCTCTTTAAAATCATAACGCGATGCCTGTCTCCCCGCAGGCGAATCTGCCTGACGACATCTTTGAGAACGGAAAGGCCGCCCAGCAAAAAACGCCCCTGTCCCTCAGCTTCAGCGACCTGCCCAACGGGGACTGCGCGCGCCCCGCCAGCCCCGCTGGCGGCCGCCCGAGCGCGTGCGCGGCCAACCCCGAAATCACCATCACCCCGGCCGAGCGGCGTCCGGGCAGCCTGGCCTCCGAGAACGAGGGCCCCGACGACTCCGGCTCCGCGTCTTCCAGAAGCTCCTCGGGCGGCGGCCCAGGGCCCCGGGCTCCCCCGGAGGAGGAGGCGGAGGAGAAGGACCCAGAGGGGCCCGGGAGCGCGGAGGCCGGCCGTGCGCCCTCCGGCGCAGCGCCCGAGCGCCTGTTCCTGGAGAGGGAGGTGGCCGAGGCGCTGCTGCAGGAGTCGGACGAGGCCTCGGAGCTGAAGCCAGTGGAGCTCGACACGTTTGAAGGCAACATCACGAAGCAGCTGGTGAAGCGGCTCACGTCGGCCGAGGTGCCGGCGGCCGCGGAGAGGCTGCCGTTCGAGGGCTCGGTCGGAGGGGAATCGGAAGGCTGCCGCGCCTTCCTCGACGGGAGCCTGGAGGACGCGTTCCAGGGGCTCTTCCTCGCCCTGGAACCGCACAAGGAGCAGTACCAGGAGTTTCAGGACCTGAACCGCGAAGTGATGCGCCTGGACGACATCCTCAAAGTAAGTCCTTTCCAGGGACGCTGGGTTGGGCGGGGAGTCGGGCGTCTTAGGACGACCTTCTATTTCCGGTGGCGTCTTTTATTTTTCACCCTGTCCCATCGCAAGGCCCACATGTCATCACCATTTAAATGGCGTTGATTTTCACCAGCGGTAGCAAATACCACTTTTTATTTTCCTTATGACAGGTGAACTTAACAAACTAAAGCAGGGGTGTCCAACCCACCGCTGGGGGGGCCCACATGCCAGGAATTTTTTGCTTATCTTTGGGGGGGTGGGTATCAGGAAAATGAGGCATAGACCTTGTTTTGCTCATCGGTTTTCGTCAGTTGTATTTATTGGGCGGCCCGGGGGAGCACCTTTTCTTCCAGTGTGGCCCAGAGATGCCAAAAGGCTGGACACCCCTGCTGTAGAGTCTAAGGAACCTCTAAGCTTCGTCAGCCCCAGAGTTCTTCATCCCACTAGTGAAATGGTGGCCCTGGGGTCACCGTGATCTCATTAAGAGGTGGCTCTAGGAGTGTGTGCCGGGTTGAAGTCAGAGTGGGCGCCGGCCCCCAGCATCCCTTCCCCCACAGTTTTAAATAACGCGGCCCAGGAGGAGAGAAGGTGAATTTTCTCTCCCGAATCCCGCTTCTTGTGTTCTCTGCCTTTTCACTGGGATTTTTATCGCCAGAGAGAAGACAGCTGGGATCCTTTTTCTTGAAAGAGCCATTCTTTGGGGGCCTGTTCTGGAAGATAAGCTCCAAAATAAGGTCCCTGTGACCTGCTGGCACCCGACCACTGGGCACCACTGCCCCCCTGTGTGTGGCTGTCCTCAAACCCATCCTCCCCAGTCCCCCTGGAAGGATACTCCCTTGATCCCGCTGGCCCGGGTCTGGAAGGGAGCCGTGCCCAGAGCCAGTGACAACCCTGGTCCGTCGGTCCAGGGCCTCCCACGCTCACGACGGACTGATTCCTTTGTGGGCACAGCCTCCCGGGCACAGGGAAGGGCGTGCGGACCCTGCTGTCAGTGAAACTCAACCAAGAAGCACCCACTCGGGGCTCCTGCTTGAAGGCTGCTTGTCTAGAATTCCAGGAACAGCACCTTCTATCCCCACGGCAAGCTTTGCTCAGTGGGCCGCCATGTCCGATATCAGGGGCTAAGATGCCTTGGCCCCACCGGAAGCCGGCACCTTGTAGAGAGGCGCCCAGGGCGCTGCGTCGCTCAGGCCACCAGCAGACGCTGCGCGAGCCACCTGTTCGTGCAGGAAACACCTGGCGGCGACGAATTGCTCCCCAGAGTCATGTCAGTCTGCTGTCCTTCCCAAACCACCCTGCCGCCAAAGTCCTCCGAGGCCCCCTTCTTCGTGCAGATCAGCACTTAAACCCGTCCACCTCCTGCAGGACCGGGTGCCGCAGGTAACAGGTGTAAGAGAGAGGACTGCGGAAGCGGGGAGCCGTGCCCCCACCACGCACCTGAGTCAGGACGGGCCTCGGAGCTGAGCTCTGGGGCCGGGGCTTCGTCCGCAGCCAGAGTTAAAGCGTCGGCTTTTCCCTTCACATTCCTAGGATGCTAAACCCCCTGGAGAGGTGGAGGATGAGAGACTAGATGGTGCCGCCTCTTGGTCGGAGATCCCCGAGGGCGAGTGAGCAGCTCTGCTGTTAAAGGCCGTCCGCTCTGTGGCCCTGGGGTGTCAGACGCACACCCCTGCGCGGGCCACCCTGCCTGGCACTCAGAAGTCGGCAAGGAGCGCCACCTGCCTGGACGGAGGACACTTAGTTCTTCCAACTCGCAGGACTTGCCCCCTTCAGCCCGCTCCACCGTCCCCTTCCGTACTGGGAAGAGCCTGTGTCCACCTCTGCGCCCGTGGCCGCGGGCGTGGTTCTGTCTGTGATGTGTTTGTGTCTGCCCAGCACCCCAGGGGTCTCCGGGCTGCAGGCCTGGCCCCGTGGCCCGCGGCCCGGTCAGGGAGGTGTCGGGACACACTTCTTCACAGGCCGGGCTGCCTCTCCAGGTGCCCAGCCTTTCTCTCCTCCAGGCTCAAGGAGGGTCAGACGCTCTGAATGTAAATGAACCTGTAAAGGCCCCTTACCTGGGGAGCACGGGTTAGCGAGTGGCTCTGTCCCTGCTTCTGGGAGTCACCTTGTCAGCCTGCAGGCAGCTGCTCGGCCGGGAGCGGCTGTCTCGGGGGAACGAGGCCGTGAGGAAGGAGACACGGCCCGCCACTCTCTCTGTCTCCATTGGGTCGTCTTACCTGGGGTTGAGCTCTAGGCAGAGAGGCATGGAGGTCCTGCTTCCCAGGGCTTTTTGGTTGTATGTTTTCTCAAACTTTTTGTTAATACGAATTTCAAACAGAAGTATCGCGAACATGTAACAGATTCCGATGCCGCTCCCCGCCCCCACCCCGGCTGCCACCGTGCCCGACTCATGGCCAATGTCATCGTCTGTTCTACCTGCTTCCTTCCCTCTGCACTGTTTTGGAACAAATCCCACATGCTGTGCCATTTGACTCATGGTTGTTCTTTTTTTAATATGAAGACTTTAAATGTGTTTTTTAATGCCAATAAAGTAAAATAAAACAAAGCCTGTCCCCTGTTGGTTGGAGCGGGTGTTGAGTTTCCCACTCAGGAGGTGCTCATGGTATTCCCCTGGGGCTGCTGAAGGTGTCCCCCGGGAGCTGCTGACGGTCCCGTCCTGGGCTGCTGATGGTGTCCCCCCAGGGCGGCTGACAGTCCCCTGGGCGCTGCTGACGGTGTCTGGTGCCCTGCCTCCGCAGTGCAAGCCCTCTGGAAGCCGCAGCACGCCCTCCAGCTTGAGCCTGACTGTGGAGAGCGCACTAGAGAGCTTCGACTTCCTGAACACATCTGACTTTGACGAGGAGGAGGAGGAGGATGACGCTGAGGAGGGGGGCACGGTCGGAGGAGGCGCGGACTCCGTGTTTTCAGACACAGAGACTGAGAAGAATAGGTGAGCCCCGCCTGGCATCCGTCTCCTGTCCTTCTTGAGTTGCACGTGGCCCTCCCACCTCTTCCCTCCCTCACCTCCCCTCCAGGCCGCCAGGGCATCTCTGCAGGGGCCTAAGCTCATCAGTGCCCGTCAGAGCCAGGTGGAGCCTTAGAATGGAAGCGAGGCTGGCCAATGAGTCGCTGGACCTCCGGCCCCGCAGGGGGCGCCGGCCTTCCCCGGGCTGGGCACGTGGGTGGGAGGGAGGAGGCCGGTGAAACTGTCGCCTGCTCCGTGGGCTTCCTGGGCCTCAGAAGACAGCTTGGAGTTGGTGTCTTAACTTCAGGGAAGCAAAACAAACTGAATCACTGAAAAAAAAAGAAAAAAACTTTCCCGAAGGTGAGGGCAGACTCGCCGCCCATCAGACTCTGGCCCCCCCCAAACCTCCCTGGGGGCGGCGGTTACATTGTGGGTGTGTTGCTGACCCCAGAGGGTGTCTTTGTCCAAAAGAAAATGTGGAAAATTAGAACGCGTCCCCTGAGCACATCCAGGGCGGGACCGAGAAGGGGCATCGCGAATCCGCTCCACACGGAGCCGCTTGTCGCTCAGTGGAACTTGCGAGAGGCCGCTCAAACCCAGAATCTCCCTGCGTGCCCGCCCCCGTGGGCTGTCGCCGGAGGGATCAAGGCCAGGCACCGAGCTGCACTGTGCCCCCTGCTGGAGGCAGCACGTCAACAACAAGCCAGTTCTTGCACCTGCCCTGGAGCCTGACGTTAAATGTGCCTGATCGAGCCGGTCTTAGTATCTGGCGTCAGCCGCGTCGGGACGCGGTGAACTTCGGGCTTGTGTTTGAGACACGTGCCGACTTCCCTGTGTTCACGGTCAGGACCTAAGCCCGGGGTCTTCTTTCCTCTCGGGGGCAAATGTGACCTCAGTGGCTCCCAGCGCCTGTTGGTGCCGACGTCCGTAGCCTGTGTGGACTGGGTCACTGCCCGGCCCCATGAACTTGGGCATCAGGTCATGGTCTCTGCCAGCCATTCCGTCGCGTGTGAAACGAGACAGCCCCCTCCCAGCACCCAGACTCATTTCCGAATAAAGTAACCCAGGCAGCAGATCTAGTTTTAAATGTCAGTGCCCCCCCACGACCTCACTGCTGGACCATGGGGCTTACACACAGCCCGAGAGGCAGGAGGAAGCCACGCCTCCGACCAGCCAAACACCCGCTCAGCTCTCGTCCCGAGTGGGGGGTCCGGCCTCTGCTCGGCAGCTTCCCCTCCTTCTCTGCAGGTGGGAGCTGGCGGAGATCACGCTCAGCGGGGCTGCTCTGGGGAAGCCAGGGATGTGGGGACAGTTTACGCCCAGACATTGGGCCGGTCGCCCCCTGGCAGGTGCTCGGGAGGCACGTTTACAAGCCCTGCAGGGGAGACGCTCTGCAAAGGGCTCCAAGGGCACATTTACTCCCCGCGTAGTGGGCGAGTTCGAGTCCCCAGAGAGCTGCGGGAGCAGTTTGTCCGTGTGATTCTTTCCCACGCGAGCCGCGCTGCACTGGGCGGAGGGAAGAAGTGGTTCCCGAAAGGCAGGCGGTGGCCGTGGGGGCCTCGGGCCTGCCGCTCGTCCAGCTGACCGCTGTCCACGTGCCGCCCCCACAGCTACAGGCCGGCGCACCCGGAGGCCAGGGTGCACGTGAGTGAGGCGCTGACGGAGGACACGGGCGTCGGGACCAGCGTGGCCGGCAGCCCCCTCCCGCTGACCACGGGCAACGAGAGCCTGGACGTGGCCATCGTCAGGCACCTGCAGCACTGCACCCAGCTCGTGCAGGTAGGGCCGCGGGGGTGGGGGGCCAGGGCGGTCACGACCCTGAGGGGCCTGTGCTGCTTCTGGGGCTGCCGGGGACTCGAGGGGTCCGCCACCAGAGACAGCCCAGCTCAGAGGGGACCCAGCTCAGAAACTCGGGCGGCGCCCCGGCCGGGCAGCTCTGTGGGCTGGAGCGCCGTCCTGGGCACCAAAAGGCTGTAGGTTTGATCCCCATTCGGGACACGTACGGAGGCAACCAGTCCGTGTTTCTCTCTCACATTGATCTCTTTCCCTCTTCCTTTCTCTCTCTAAAATCGTAGAAACATATCCTCAGGCGAGGACTGAAAAGAACACATTTTTTAAAACCCTGATGGGTGTGCCCATCCCCCCCCCGGGCCCCGAATGCCAGTGAGAAGGATGCGGTTAGCTGTCACTCCAAAGCCACTCAGTAATAGATGGAAATACGTGATTAAGAAATAAAAAAGAATTTGCTTTCTGCCACCTCCAAGTGGGCTTTGAAAGCCGCTGTTACGCCGCACAGGCCAACGGGAAGGCACCGGGGAGCGGCCCAGCACCCGGGGGGCTGAAAGCCGCGGAGTGCGGGCCTCCCGCTTGGATAAGTGCCAATTACCAGCAGGACCAAACACTTTGCCAGCCATTAGCCACCCCAGCGAGCTGTTATCTGGGACTCTGTGGAGCTTATTTTTCTTCTCAGATCAAGCTGTTTACCACTTAAAATTTTGCAACAGTGTACCACGTTTTGAAATCCTCCCCCCCAGTGGCAGGAAGTGCCCCCCCACCCCCACCCCCAGGCTCTGCTTCAGTCCTTCCTCCTCGCCTGGTGGCGGGTCTCCCACTCCTCTCCCACCTGCACCTGCTCTTCCCCCAGCTTTCGGAGATGCTCGGGGAACAGGAAGAGAGAGGGAAAGCAAATGAATGACGTATCAGGGGGTGGGCCGGTCGGGGGTGCAGGGAGAGAAGGAAGGGGGACCCACTGGAAGACCAGAGGCGGGTGAGGAGGAGGCTCTGGGGAGGCCAGCCGTGGGCGGTGCCTGTGAGGGACGTAGAATCCCTTCTCCTCCCCGACGTGGCCCCAGACCGCTGATGTGCCGCCGAGGGGGCTGGTCCGCAGCCACCCTCCCGACACTTGCCCCCCACCCAGCACCCACTGGCCCCCTGGTGATCTTCTCTGTTGACTGTGGGGTTCACAAGTCGAGGTGCTGAGCCAATCCGGCGGAAGACCGGGTTCTCTTTTCCGGCCCAAATGGGCGAGAAAGTTGTTCTGCACTTGTTGCCATTTGAATGGGGTGGTTCTCACAGCGCCATTCCTCGCCGAGGCTGAGACCGTGCCCAGCAAACTGCCTGTTCCCCTTCGTGGCCGTCAGGGCCTCCCACCTGGGGAGGAGGCCTCCCTCCCCATCACAGGGACGACTCCGGGCGCGGTGTTCGGGGCAGTGCCTGTCCCATGACCTGGCCACGGTTACAGCCACTCACCTCCTCCGTGGTGCGTTAAACACTAGAAGAGCGGAAGAGGCTCTAAAGATGAACGGGGGAGTGAGGATTGAAATGCTAATGTTTAACTCGCACCCACTCCTGAACCAGTGAGTTTCCGTGTTTACTTGGTGCATCTCTGCAGGGAGTTGGAAATGGACATCCCGTCCGGGTTGTAGTGCCTGTGGTCACATTTAAAACAAAGTAGTTCAGTCCTGGCCGGTGTGGCTCAGTGGGCTGGAAAATCCTGTTTGTCTTCAAGGCCAAATGCGTTCGGCAGGGCAGGACAGTGGCACGGGTGTGCGAACCGCGGCTCTGCCCGCCAGGTGGGCAGGAGGCACAAAGGTAGATTCCCCGGCACAGGTGTCCGGTGCTTTCCCTTCTCTGGCTTCTGACCTTCACACAGGTCAGTCACTCACTGTGTGGGCGACCTGGGTCAGCTTCCTTAACCTCGATGTGCCTCAGTTTACCTCTCTAAGACGAGGTCTCTGGGTCATAGTGAGAGAGAAGGTGAACCTGCACAGGCCCAGGGCTCTGACCAGCGTCCGGTCCCCGAGCTCTCCTGGTTACGGCAGGAGAGCCGGACCGAGATCCTGACCATCACTCAGAAACTCCTGCACATTTGGCGGACGCACCGATATGCAACCTGAGTGTGCCCCCCACGCTCCTTAAGAGGGTTTATGAATGTACAGTGGCCTGCCAGCAACACTGCTAAAAAATTCCAGGATTTACACGTAGGCGCCAAAAGCCCTCCAAAACTTTAAAGCGGCAAAAGCCTGTCTGAGTATGTCGGGAACCGGGAGCGTCATTGCGAGGAAATGAGGGCACCGTGGGAGTTCAGTCGGCGTCAAGGTCAAGGCCAGGAGGGAGAGCACTGCGGACCACATAACGGAGACAAAGCTTTTGTGTGTTTTCTCAGCAAATCGTTTTCTCGAGCAAAACCCCCTTGGTGGCGAGGAGCCTCTTAGCGAAGCTTTCCAGTCAAGTCCAGGTGATGCGGCGCCTGGCAGCCGTCAGCGAGGAGAGTGTCGGGAACGTGGGCTCCGTGGTGGAAGGTGAGTCCGGCAGGGCCGCCGCCCGCCTCCGCTGCGCCTGCTCTCTGCTCCGCCACAGGACGGGCAGCAGAAGGGCACTCACAGAGCGGGGGTGTCGGGGCGGTCCCCACAGCTGTGTGGTCTCGGTAGCACCCGCTTCTGCTCTCAGAGTCAAACTGCGCCCACCCCTGGTCCCGTGGGGGCCTCCACGTCTGGTGGACGGACACTAGAGGACAAGCAGAGCCCACGTCACCCCCAGGCTGTGTCACAGGCCACATCTGCCCGTGCGGTTCCAATGGGGGACACCTGACTAGGGGGTTCCTGACCTCACGGAGTTGCTGGAGCAGCTCCCACGGCGGCCGCAGGTCAAATGCAGGATGTTCCAGGGCCTGACAGGGACCCACGGCCTTGGTGGGTGGGGGTCCCTGGCAGAGAGTTTCGGGTGGGGAGCTTGTCCGGGGGAAGATGCCTCTGAGCTGGCCTTTTGTGGAGACCAAACCCGCCCCCCTGCCTTTCCCACGTTGGCTCTTCAGCGGGAACAGCAGGGCACAGCCCCGCTGGCTCTCTCTGAGGGAGCCAGGGCAGCCGGGGGGGGGGGGTCTCCCTGTGCACGCTGCCCCCCGCGTCTGACCCGCCAGGAGCAGGGGACCTTGGCAGGTGTCCTGAAAAGGGGCAGAGCGGTGCCCTGACCCTGTGCGTCTGTGCTGTGACGTCACAGGAGGCGAGGGCACAGGGCCTCTGCCCACTGCCCAGGCTGCGTGCGCTCCTCCTCACAGTGTCCGGGTCCCTGGGCCACCTGCAGACCAGCAGTCTTTAAAAACAAAAGGAAACAGCCCTGGCTGGTGTGGCTCGGTGGCCCGAGTGCCAGCCCACGAACCCATGGTCGCCGCCAGTTCAGTTCCCAGGCAGGGCACAGGCCTGGGTGGCAGGGCAGGTCACACCCCCAGTAGGGGGCGTGCTAGAGGCAACCACATATCTGTGTTTCTCCCTCCCTCCCTGAGTCTAAAAGTAAAATAAATGATCTAATTGTTGTAAAACCACCAAACCATCAAACGGCGGGCGGCGCAGCCTCCCCGGCCCCACGGGCCCTCCCCCGCCCCCACACGGGCCCTCCCCCCGCCTCACCGCCCTGCTCTCTCCCCAGCCATCCCCGAGTTCCACAGCAAGCCGCCCCTGCTGTCCTTCTGGACCCAGTGCTGCGGCTCGGCGGGCGCCTACCACAGCTCAGCGGACAGGGTGCTCCGGCAGCTGGAGGCCAGCTTCGCCGCGGCCGTCAACCGGGACTACCCGGGACTCGCAGACCCAGGTGGGCCGGCGGGCGGGGGGCAGCGCTCAGAACCGGGGACCCCTTCCCGCCCCTTGGCCGCCCCGACGCGGCTTCCCCGGCCCCGACCGCACCGAGGAAGAAAAATCGGACGTGCTCTGCTTCTGACGGCAGCGGTGACTGTGCAAAGCGCGGTGTTTCCCTACCGTCGTGCGGCGATGTCGCCAGCGCGGGGGGGCTGTCCGAGGGCGTCACCGGCCACTGCACTAAATAAAGCCCCCCCTTCCCCCCACGTCCAGCAGTTCCGCTCCGCACCGAGACAAGTGCGTGCTTGTGCTGACAGAGGAGGGCGGGTGTGCTGGGAGGTGCGCAGCGGCTCTGCAGACGAGCCCAGCTCGGGGAACAACCCGGTGCCCGTCAGTACGGAGCAGAGGAACCGCCATATATTCGGGCACCGGGGTGTCCCACCGCGGTGGGCGAGAGGGACAGGTTACCGGTGCAGGTGCCGCGTGGGATGAATCCCACGGACCTTCCCACACGTGAAAGGGGTCGGCACCAACTGCTTACTCAGCAGTTTCACGGAGACCAGGGTCAGGACCGGGCCAGGCTGACCTGGAGATGGGGGAGGGGCACGAGGACACCTGCCGGGGCCCCCGTGGTTGTCACGCAGGTGTGTGGGTCACACAGGTGGTCGCTGTACCCTGAGGGTTAGTCCAGGTGAGCTCCTCACTCTGTCCTGTTCCACAGTGAGAAAAGGAACGAGGGATGAACAAACGGTCGTATTTCTGAAAAGCTGCTTCTCGCCTTCTCTTTCCAAACAGTGTTCCACACCCTGGTGTCCCAGATCCTGGACCGGGCGGGGCCCCTGTCACCCTCCAGCCTGTCCTCGGAGGTCATCACCGTGTTCCAGTACCACGGCTACTTCACCAGCCACGGCGTGAGCGACCTGCCGGGCTACCTGCACCAGCTGGCCCAGCAAGGTGGGGCGTGCCTTCGGAGACGCGGTCTCCGGATTGATGGGGGGTGGCCTCCGTCTTCGGGGGTCATAGTCTTTAGTTGCGTTTTTAACTAGGGCAGTTATTTATAAAACAGTGAAATTACAAGAACATCTCCAGCAGGAGAAATAGGAGATTAAAGCAAAACAAAAATTCTCTATTCACATATGTGTCCCTTGGGTGGAGGATTCTGCTTTGTCACCACAACGGGAAGTTGGCTTCAATTTCCCACCTGTACTGGCCACACACACACCTGCCCTGATGCTTCTGTGGCTGACAGAGGGTCCCTGCCCCAGAGTCCTGACTCACGGGACACAGTTTGTCCAAGTGGGACCCAGAAATCCTGCTTTTTGTCGGTCTCCATACTCCAACCACTGCCGGGACTCCACCACGCCCGGGGGAAAGCAGAGGTGGGGTCCCTGGGGCCCCGGTTTTGCCCGAGGGACGTGGTGGAAGACAAGCTTGCTGTGTCGGGAAGACCGTAACACGCGTTTGCTTGGATTTCTGTCACAGTGTGTTTTCACATTTGATGGTGTAGCTCGTCAGTGAGTTATTCTCGTAGCCGTTAGCCGTGGAGAGCACGTCCACTTTCCCACGTGTGACCTGCCATGTGCCTCCACGGGCTGTTGGAGTGACCTGTCCTGTTCTCACTTGGGGAAGACACGCTGTCTGTCATAGGCACCTGGGTCTGTCCCTGCGGATTCGCCAGACCCTTGCTGACAGCGGTAATTAGCTCTGTGCGGTCCCCGCCCCTGACCCCCCGCCGCCCCTCCAGTCTCCCTGGTGCAGAGCCTGCCGTCGCTGAGGGAAGACAAGCTGCTGCAGGCGGTCGGCGGCCTCACCGCCCACAGCCTCCCGGCCCAGCAGGAGGTGCTCCGGACGCTGGCCCTGCTCCTGACCGGCGGCCACAGCGGCGTCAGCCAGGCCGTGCGGCTCCACCTGGCCGAGGCCGCCAGAAGCGAGCACTTCAGGGAGAAGGTAGGCAGCGACCCCACAGCTGCGGGTCGGAAGCGCCCTCGTTTCCCATCACCTGCTCTGAACAGGTGGCCATTTTCCTTCTGGATCATAATTGGCTTCTGCTTATGAATGGTGCCTACTCTGTGAAGCAGTTTTTCGAAGTTGAAATTTACCTTTCAACGACCGTTGGCACTCAGCACTATCCTACAGGACTGTCAGGCGTACGGCACTGCGGTTAGGCATTTGTATAGTCTACACGGTGGTCCCCTGGTGAGACTGGTGCCCACCGGTCACCGCACAGAGTTCTGACGCTGTTGCCGACTGTTGCCTGTGCTGAACTTCACATCCCCATGAAAAACGATGTGAACTACAAAACTGTGTTGTGATACTTAAGTGTCCGTCCATGTACTGAATTTTTAAAAAAGACAGCCCTTTAAATAAACAAGAATCGTGCTGGTTCTTTGCCCTGAAGGTCATGCATAGTGTCTTTACCTGTAGCCTCTCTCGGGCAGTAAAAGTGACACAGACCTTTACCACAGCCACCAAGCGTGTCCTCACGCTGTCCCCCCTTCCGCCCAGGCTGTGCTCTACTACTGTGAAGCCCTGAGCGCGCCGGACCTGCAGCTGCAGAAGGCAGCCTGCTTGGCCCTGCGAAGCCTGCAGGTGAGGCCGGCGAGGGGTGGGGCCGGGGCCGTGGGCGGGACACCTCTCCATGTGTGTGTCTTCCCCAAAAGAGAGAGGAGGGGACGATTCATCCGGTGGCACTGGGTACAAAAACGGACCGTGCAGACCGTGCAGAGGGCTGCAGTCCAGCATGCGGGTGGTGCCCAGACCGGCCCCTTCCTCCTGGGGGCAGTGCTCTGCACCCAATGAAGGACTCTTTCCAAACCCTGCCCGGCTGTGAAAGCCAGGGTGGTGCAGGGCTCCTCGCCCACGCCCACCCCTGGACACAAGCAGCAGCGCCCGAGGTTCTCAACCCAGGGGCCCCCAGTGCTGGTCCCCGTCCACCCACCGGCAGATCGCCCGGGGTCCAGCCATGCCACCTTCTGGCCCCCAGCACTGCCACCTCCGGGTTGTGAGCCCAGCTTTCTCCCAGGAATAAAACCCTAACCTGTGTCCATGATCAGCTCTCCTGAACCCCAGCGGGAGGGAGCCTGCGTTTGGAGCCGCCCCCCCCCCCCGCAAGTTCTCCCTGGGCACCAGCTACTCCCCGCACTTCCCGGCCCCGTCTTCCCGGCCCCCCCCCCGTTACCCAGCAGGGGCCACCCCAGACTCCACCCGTCTCACCCCGGCTCCCGTCTCCTGGATCCGAGAGGAGCCCACAACCGCCTCCCAGCAGCGACCCCCCTCTCGTCCCCTTCCTCCCTCAGCCCCATTCTGTAGACCCGATTCCTGAACAGCCCCCTGGGGCACCCCAGAATCCACCCCCAGGCTCCTGACATCCAGCTGGACAGCGGGGGTGGGTATCCCCACCAATTCTGAGGCGCCAAGTCTCATGCAGCCCCAACATGCGTGTCAGGGCGTGCCGTTGACTGCCCGCCTCCTCCCTGCAGGCCACGGAGAGCATCAAGATGCTGGTGGCGCTGTGTCAGTCGGACGCTGAGGAGATGAGGAAGGTGGCCTCGGAGACGCTCCTGGCTCTGGGTGAGTTCTCTCTGCTGGGTTGTTGGCTCGGGGGCCTCAGCTGTAATCGGTCGGCGGTGCCAGTGGGAAAAACCACCTCGGGCTGATGCTGGTGGCCAACCAAGGTCACGGAGAATCCCTGGCCTCTGTCACCCCCGTGAACGTCACCTCGTTAGCATTCTTCCTGGGCGACCGTTTATTTCACGAGGCTCCACTCTGGGAATTGAATGTCGCCACCGGCACAGAAATCTTCGCCTGCGTGGCCGTTTGAAGGATAACAGAGTTAGTCCTCACAGCACAGAAATCATGTCTCTCCCTAAACACGTGCCCGGGGCGTCACTACTTGGAGCTGCTTTTCTTCGTGTTCTGGGACAACCGTGAGGGAAGGCAGGCGTTCATGACACAGGTCTCTGGGGTGCGGCCTCGGTGGGCTGACCCTGTGCAGGGGTCGCCTGAGCTGGTCGGACAGCGGCTGCCCGCCCGGCCCGAGCTCTCTGCCTGTGGCTGTGGCCTCTCGCACCACCAGGTCCTGCTCCAAACGCACCAGGCCAGTCGCCCTTCCAGGGACCCTCGTGGCTGTGACTTGTGACCCTCTAAAGCCTCCGAAGGGATGAATCGTTTCAGACTCCGTGTCCTGGGAGGCCCTGTCTCCCACACGGCCGCAGATTAGAAGTCTGCTGCGTCTCTAAAACCCACCGATATGAGTGCGTTTCTAGAACGTCAGTCTTTTTCCTCCTGCTTTTCTTCACAATGGAGTCCTGATTGAGCCCCGCTGGTTATTTCCGCCCCAGTCTCTGAATTAAATGGACAGAAGCTTCTCATCGTTAGTTATCTGTGCTCTGTCTCCCCGTTTTCCGATCCCATTTTTAAAAGAGGAAAAATGGAGCCAAAGAGTCAGGTGATTTGAGACACACAGTGGCTGACCGAGACGGCCCTCCTGACAACCAGACACCGTCACCACCTTGACACGGCACACGGTCACCTGTTGGCTGAAGTCTGAAAGCCTCAGTTTGGCTTTGACCATTTAGACGTGCTGACGTGTAATGTGTCAAGGCCGTGTGGAAGTCACACGCTCTGACCTCAAGAGCCCGCCGTGACAACACGCACGCAGCGCCCGGAAGCGGAGCCTGTGCGGTGTGCGGGGGCGAACCTGTCAGGCGCATCCCGACACCGTGAGCGCTCAGGCTTCCCTGTTTCACCCCCCGCGTCCTTTGCGCCTCTGGCCTTAGCTCAAATGTGACAACATCACGAATGGTGACAGGGTGGCTTTTCCTTGCCTTACATTAGCATCAGTGAAAACCAGCAGGCCCTCCCTAGACAGCCGAGCACTGACCCCCCCCACCCGAGTGAGGGGCACAAGCGTCAGGCTGACCCCATGCCCCTCTTTCTCCCTGTCACCCAGGAGAAGACGGGCGGCTGGCCTACGAGCAGCTGGACAACTTCCCTCGAGATGGTGTTGGGAGTCGTCAGGGGGCGGAGGTGGCCACGGCCTTCTGAGGACCAGCTGGCCCGGCCGCGGTGGAGCTGTCTCCTCAAGGGCCTCCCACGCCAGCGGTGCTGCGATGGAGCCGGCCGGGGTCCCCAGCTCGCAGCGAGCTGTCGGGGCGACGTGGACATCGCCCGGGTGCAGCATCATTCCGTCCGGCTCCGCGGCACTGCCCCCTCCCTCGGCCAGTGCGTGGGGCTCCCTGTGAGCCAGCAGGTCCATCACGTGGTCGCCGAGTCTGAGCCCCTCCTGCCTGCGGTGTATGGGGTTTCAAAATAGCCATCTCTGTGCTTTTTTGGAAGTTCTTCTGTGAGCGTGAACCAGTCCCGTGATTGATGCTTTGGTGCAGTCGTGCGGCTTGCGGTTCCTCTCCATTGTGTTCTCAGGGTTGAGCGCCCCCTCCCCCAGTCACTCCCACTCCCCTCCCCGCCCCCGTATCCCCCCCCAGCTGCGTCAGCTACCTAACTTTCCCTTAAATGCAAAATACGAAAAAGGATTCCTTCAAATAAAAGTTTGCCTGCAGAACCTGGTAGAACGATACATTGTAAGAGTTTGATATTTTGTACATTGCCTTGTTTCAAATGTCCACTGTTTCTTCTCTTCATCCTGAAAGTTCCAAAAGCACGTTCCCACGGTAGTGAAAACAGGTGGGAGACTCCGGGCACCTGATCACAATCACACCCGTACGCGCTGAAGACAAAGACACGCAGAGCGTACGCTTTTATTTTTTCAAAAACAAGAGCCATTTTTTTAATGATATTTTTCAATAGAGGTACTTGGCTGCTAAGACAAATCAAAACCAAAAGTTCCGGATTCAGAAGGCTGAGATGCTCTTTGAGGTGGGACAGCACATCAAAAGTTAGTGGCACATCAAAAGGGGCCCCTGCTTCCGTGACAATTCCCGCGAAATCAGGGAGCCGGCCGCACTGCCACTGCGGGATGGTTCCTGCCCCCGCTGGTCCCCTTGGCCAAATAGTCCAGACGGCAGCCGCCCTCACTGCTCGGATCAGGGTGAAGTGCAAGGCCTCTCAGGAACTGCTAAGTAACCTCTCTTCCTCTTAAGAGTATACAAGGTGGGAAATGCCAAGATATCAAGTTGCGTGTGAGTGTGACTGAAACTATTCTGGATGTGTTTGTACCCAATACTGTGTAGGTATCATTTTAAATATTCCTATTTTAGCAAGACCTTGAAAAGCAACTCTGATTTCCTTTTAAAGTTCATGTTGTTTGCCAGGCTTCCTGGCAAGGAGTCTTTTGACTGTGAAGTTATAGTGTGTATGTATATTTGTATATTTATAAATATTATATATATGCAGATAACCTTCCTTTTAAAGTACATTGTACAGTCTGTAGTTAGTATGTCTAGTCTTTGATCTACATTAAATGGTTGACACGATTCTTTTTATAGAACCTTAAATCACAAATGTTACAGTTTTTTTGTTTGGTTTGTGGCTTTTAAAAAAAAATTTGAATATTGCATGAGTAATTGACTCCATCCCTTTTGTACTCACTTCTGCATTTTATTTTTTGGTGAAGGGGGTGCTTTTGGTTTTGTGGCATTTGTATCCATCCCTGTCTGTATCATGGAAGTTACAATAAAAGTTATTTTTTAATTTCTAGTCTCGTGCGGAGTCGGCCGTATTGTTTTCGCACGCCCTAGGGAGCTGGTTGGAGGCTCCTCACCACACCTCACTCCCATGTGAAATTCCTCCCTTCATAAAGGAGGACAATACTAGTGGCTTCTCAGATGTTTTATAAAGCTGCCAGGAGGAAAGAGCCTGGGAGCTACTCAAAGGTCAAAAGCATCCTCCCAGACCCCAGTCCCCGGGCCCAAACCCCCCCGGGACCCCTTGCTCTCCTGGCCTGGGTCGGCCTCTCTACTGTGTTGCTAGGTGACGAGTTCCCGGATTCTTCGCTATTGTTCCCGCCGGCCTGTCCACGCCATGGACGGGGCCCAGGAGTCTCCCGTGCAATTTTTAGCTCGGGTTCGTCAGTACTTTGCGGGGCTGTGCCAGTGCCTGCAGAACTTCTGGAACAGTGTCAAGGCCTTTTTCGTGAAGAAGGAAAAGGAAGAACATCTCCCTCCAGGGGACAATATTTTTCACAATGAAAAAATAGTGGTGCTGGGCCAGGTGTTGAAGAACAAATCTCTAGCCGTTGAAAAGAGGGTCCGGGCCGCCTACCAGATCGGACTATTGGTCTTCACAGGTACTAACTTACCCAGCTGTTCCTTTTTCCCCCCTTTTTAAAATATTTTTATTGATTATGCTATTACAGTTTTCCCCATTTTTCTCCTCTATCCCCCCTCCACCCTGCCCCTGCCACTCCTCCAGTGTGTCCCCCCTTAGTTCATGCCCATGGGTTGTACGAGTAAGTTCTCTGAGTCCTGTTTCTGTCACCATTTTTTAATCTCTCCCCGCCTACCGACCATGCTGCTGCTTCCCTGTACCTTCCCCCCATTTCTCCCTTCCCCCTCCCCACCAAAATCCCTCCATGTGATGTCCACTTCTCTGATTCTGTTCCTGTTCCGGTTGTTTGCTTAGTTTTTGTTTTCATTGTTTTTCTTTTCTTTTAGGTTCATTTGTTGATAGTTGTGAGTTTGTTGTCCTTTCACTGTTTATATTTTTTATCTTCTTTTTCTTAGATAAGTCCCTTTAACATTTCATATAATAAGGGCTGGGTGATGACGAACTCCTTTAACTTGATCTTATCTGGGAAGCACTTTACCTGCCCTTCCATTCTAAATGAAAGCTTTGCTGGATAAAGTCATCTTGGATGTAGGTCTTTGGATTTCATGACTTGGAATACTTCTGTCCAGCCCCTTCTTGCCTGCAAGGTTTCTTTTGAGAAATCAGATGATAGTCTTATGGGAAGTCCTTTGTAGGTAACTGTCTCCTTTCCTCTTGCTGCTTTTAAGATTCTTTCTTTATATTCAGTCTTGGGTAACTTAATGATGAATGTGCCTTGGTGTGTTCCTCTTCAGGTCCAACTTCTTTGGGACTCTCTGAGCTTCCTGGACTTCCTGGAAGTCTATTTCCTTCGCCAGATTGGGGAAGTTTTCCTTCATTATTTGTTGAAATAAGTTTTCAATTTCTTGGTCTTCCTCTTCTCTTTCTGTTACTCCTATAATTCAGATGTTAGAATGTTTCATGTTGTCCCAGAAGTTTTTAAGAGTCTCTTCACATTTTCAAATTCTTGTTTCTTCATTTTGTTCTGGATGGATGTTTATTTTTTCCTTTTGTTCCAAATCGTTGCTTTGAGTCTGGTTTCCTTCCTGTGACTGTTAGTTCCCTGAACATTCTACTTTATTTTTACTTTGGGTATCCTTCCTTTGTTTTCTCATTTTTCGAAGAAGCTCAATCAGCTCTGTGAGCATTTTGATTATCAGGGCTTTCAATTCTTCATCAGATAGGTTGGCCATACCCTCCTCACTTAGCTCTTTCTGAGTCACTACTCTGTTGTTTCATTTGGGGCCCATGTCTTTGTCCTGGCGCAACTGAGAGGTTGTAAGGGGGCGGGGCCTCAGACATTTCTGGGCGGGGCCACCCTCCTGGCTGAGCTGCCTGTGGGGGCGGGGTCAGAGAGGGAGCCGCCCAGCGGTCTGCTGGGCTCTAGCGTACTTTTCCGCCAGGCAAGACTGGGAGCTTCTCCTACCGCTTGCAGCCACTGCAGACCACAGCCACCGCTGAGTCCCCCTAAGCCAGCCCCTCCCTTGCAGCCCCCCGGAGCCCCCTAGCCAGCCCCGCTCCCCAAGGTAAGCCTTGTCCCAGCAGAGAGTCTGCCAATGGGGCCCGCCGCTTTCCCAGTCTGGTTGTTCTGTTTGATTTTTTCTTTAATTCCTTGGTTGTCGGAGTTCCATGCAGTCTGATTTTCTGGTGCTTTTGGTGGTTTATTGATTTCAGATTGGTCGTTACCCTCTTTTTGGTTGTACAAGGAAGCGAAGGGTCTCTACCTACGCCTCCGTCTTGGCCACAACCTGCCCAGCTGTTTCCAAAGCCTTTTGTTTACAAAACTGAGTAAGCGATCCTCGTCGTTCTTGCCTTAAAATTCCAATAGAGCTTCCTTTGCTAAATTATTAGCATTTTTGTCTTTGCACCACAAAAGATATTACTAATTATTTTCTCCTCAAAGATTTTTTGTGTCCATCAAATACGTGACTCACTGTTCCCTGCTTTTACTAATTAAAAATATACAGACTAAAATTGACTATCAAAGTTCTTATAAAAAACATCAAAGGATCTACACTGAGTCGATATAATGCCAACATAGTGAGTCTCACGACTTCATTTTTTTTTTAATCTTGTAAAAAGGCACATCACAGAAAATAGCTGAGAAAAGTAAATAAGAACTCGTTGCTCTTAAAACACCTGCCAGGTCAGCCGCCAGGTGCACCTGCAGAAAGCAGCGATTACCGTCCGCTTGGCTAGAAAATTAAGTGGCAAACCATTTAAACATGCAGTGGTCTAACAATTAAGTCCAAACTCGTTCCTTTTTTCTTCCTAATGCATTCCAGGATTTGCTATGACATGTTATTGATTGGTAGTCCTCAACAACACATCTCCTTATTAGTTCTTTTTTTTCCCCAGCTTTTAAAGTTCTTGTTCACATACATTTGTCCACATTTCCCACCCCCCCCACCCCCACCCCAGCCACCCCACTCCTTATTAGAAGTTCCGGCTGGTAGCTCTAAGTGTCCATATTTTTTTAATGGGAAAATAAGTTACTTAGATGTAGTTTGATAGACTAAATCTTTCAAAGAATGTGTCGGTGAGAGAAAACGTTCAGTTTGCCAGGGTTGGGGGGCCACAGAAACAGGAGGACAGGAAACCAAGACTCTGCCCCCCCCCCCCGCCCCCGCCCCCGGGCCTGGCTTCTCACACAGCTGCTTCCCCCACTGGGGGGAAGAGCTGCTTATAAAAGGGTTGGAGTCCTTTAACTTGACCTTGCTTAGCCCCAGCTGCACTGATGGGAAGTGAGGGGAAGGGCTTATGCCCGGGGTTCAGCTAAGATGTAACATTGACTAGAACAGTCTTGGGACATAAGAGAAATCCAAGGTCGGCGGGAACTCCAGGGCTGGACTCCAGCCAGCAACTCGGGCTGCCGCACCATCCAATGGTCCCTGCGAGGCCTTCACAGCTCCTGCCTTCTCAGAATTTGGGGTTTGGACTGGGACGGTCGGGGGTCAGGAATACATAAGAAAAAAGTGGCATCCAGGACCAGGTGGGGTTCAGTGAGCAAAGCAGGGAAAAGCTCGGGAGGCACGTGGGCCCCACCCTGCAGGTTGTGGCATGAGTTGGGAGATGGGGACAGGAGGGCAGAGCTCGTGAGCGACCTCTCCGGCCACCGACCCGGCTCTGCGGCTCAGCCTTTGGACTTTCCCGTCGCTGCGCCAACATGCTGGTATTTCTTCAAGTCCTGCAGGCGGAGGGTGAGGAATGATACCACCAAGGAGACTGACTGGGTGGACCTGACCAAAGGGACCTCTCAGAGCCTCTCCCGTATCACCACACACATTCCCAAGGACCCCAGCGTCCGTCCGTAGCAGCAACCAGAATAGGAGCACCTGAGCTCGCCTGTCACTGGCCGCTGGGGACGCCGGATCCCCTCTGGAGACACAAATGCTTGTCTTGCAGGAGGCCCCACGGCGGGGAGGTTTGCGGCCGAGCACATGAAGGAGGTGGCCCTCTTGCTGCAAAATCGCCAGTTGGCACCGAGGGCGAGGATCCTGCTGCTGCAGAGCCTGGCGTGCTGGTGCTATCTGGATCCCGCCAGCCAGCACCGGGCCCAGTTTCTCAAGTTCATCCCCATCCTCACCGCATTTTTCGATGACTCACAGGAGTCAACCTCCAAGAGTGAGGTCAACAGCCACCTGCTGGTGAAATTCTGGACGTGCTATGTCCTCTCTGTCATGACCTGCAACAACTCGGCCTTCGTGGAGGAGCTGAAGGAGCACGTAGCCCTCAGGAGCCACCTGCAGCTGCTGGCCAGTGAGAACTGGAACGGGTGGCCCGAGAACTTCGCCCAGGTGCTGTATTTCCTGATCGGTTTCCACAGGAACTAACAGCCCCGCGCCCGGCTCCCCGGGGACGACCCTGGAGAATGGAAATAAAGGACGGAAGCCGGTGGAGTCTTCCTCGATGTTTTCTTTTAGGTGGTCAAACACTCCCAGGTCAGCTTCCAGTTTCTGCAAGAACCAGCCTCAGGGCACGCACTGCCGTTTAAAAATGACCTCATGAAGGCTGAGTTCCTGAAATGGGAGGTCCCAGGAGGACCTGAGGGGTACTGGCAGGACTTGTAGGGCATCACATGACATCACACCAAGGCACTCAGACACGCCAAGCCCTAGCCCACCCCGCAGCCCATCCCCAGAGCCCTGAGTACCGCATCTGTGTCCCATCCACCGTTTCAGGGGTGCGGTTGTTTCCTGGCAACCAGAACATGAGCTGCTTACACATCAGGCGGATGCTCCAACAGTTGATACCTAATTGAAAATCAGGTTCGTCATCTAAAAGCAATCCTTCCAAGTTCTCTTAGTCAACTCCAGCCACAGTTCCTGGGTGCTGGAGCCTTAACACCCGTACCACCCCCAAGTTCCCCCTGGAAACTCATCCCCAACACACCCCACCCTTGCCTCCCCCCACACACAAAATCCCCAGGCAACTACTCTGCTTTGTCAAGGGGGGTTGGAGTCTCACCACTGTAGTTACATACGAGCCCCCAGGAGAGTCTCTAACCTGGTTTCTCTCACTCGGCACCACTGACCCCTTTCCCAGCCCCCGCTCCCCGGCTCCTTTCTGTGGCTGAGCCGCAGTCCGCTGTGTGGACGCCACCGTTCGCTGACCTGTTCCCTTGCGGACAGACACGCGGGCTGCTGCACATATTAACGGAACCCTTGCAGACTCGTCTTCATGTGGACGTTCGCTTTGCTGTCTCTCAGGTGGATACTAGGAGTGTCCTATTTGAGAAGTTTGCCAAATCCAAGGTCACTAAGATTTTCCCCCCTGATATTGTCTTCTAGAAGATTAATAGCGTTAACTCTTGCATGTTAAAATCCTCTCTTTTGCTCCCTGCCGCCAAATCCTGGCCATCTATTTTTGGCATTCTCCAGAAATATCTCCTGTCCCCCAAGTTCTCCTGTTCTGTGTAGCGCTCCCCTTTCTTCCCCATTCTGACAGCCTCTCAAGAGGTTCATTTCCTGCTCCCCTTAACACAGGTAATTCTTCAAACCATTTTTCCTGTTAAAAACCCCCAGCACTCTCTTCTTCAATTCTATCTCTGGGCTGGTAGCCCCCACCCCCCACCAATAATTAAACAGACCCACACCGTCTAACACAGTGGCCACTACCCTCACGCACGTGGCTATTTAAACAGAAACTAGCATCTCAGTCCTTCATTCCCAGCCATGTGTCGACGCTCCACGGCCACATACGGCTGGGTGGGTCATACTGGACCCCACGGCTATTCACAAGAGAATCTTTTATTGGGTGCTCTTGCTATAGATTAATGACGGCTTCTGTTTTCTAAGACTTCATTCAGGCACCGTACTAAAATAAGACGGAGGCTTTATCTCAGTATTAGAAATAAGGAAACGGAAATCTCTAAGGACAAATAACTTGCCTAAAGGAATCCTTTAACCTTGACATTGCTCTTTGTGGCCACTTCCTCCCAAGGCCCTGCGTGCTCCTCACAGAGCCCGTTTGAAGTACACAATTCTGCGTACTTCACTGTCCTGCTTTCCCTGGAAGGACTTAAGGGGACCCCCCAGTTGATTTCACGCTGCTCTTAATTCTCATTCCTCCTACACATGTATGCTTTGTACTGTATCAAAGGAGACATGAGTGAACAGGAAGTTCTGGAACCCTCAGCTATTCCTGCATCTCTACACGACTTCACCTACCCCCCCGCCTCATGCCACCCCGTCACTGTAAACTTCCCAGGGTCTGGCCGCCCTGGCCAGTGGGGCCTCTGCTGGCTGCTCAGGTGCGCGTGAGCGCTTTGGAAGCGACACGCTCACCTTTGTCCCAGCCCCTCAGGAGGAAGATCTGGGAACCAACAGTCCCTGCAGTGGGTCTGAGTAACAACCGGATTCGGAGTAACACCTCAACGACTTCAGTCTAAAAAGGGACAAACATCAATTCACTTTCTCCTTGTCTCCTCCAAACAGGAGCAAGAAAACCACAAAACCATATCGACAAATTTTACTTAGATATCATTTTTCAAAAAACACACGGTGCTCAAAAGGACACTGAAGTTTATTTATCACACACGCAAGTCGTGTCTGACATTGAGAAAACGTTATTTACATAAAACGCCACAGAATAAAAATACATAGTATTTGTACTTTGATACAACATCGGGGTCCCAGGATTCAAACGAAGAAGTTCGATCTCAAGCCTGCAGTGTGCAGGTGTTTGCTCGGCTACAAAGAACTGCAGTGGAGGTGAACTTGGCTGGCGTGTTTCTCATGTCGACTGTTCCCGACCCTCACGCACAGGGCGACCCTGCGTCTGGGAAGGAAGACTCAGCTTCTGTGGCGCAGCCCTCGGCTCCCGAGTCCTCCACTTCGGAATCCTCGCCAGCTTCCTCTTCGGAATCGGAGTCCTGACTCTCTGGTGATCCAGAGTCTGCCAGGCGTCTGCCTTTCATTCTCTTAAAGAATAAACCAAAAATTTATCGCAACGACCTTCAAACCTACATCCCTTATCAGTACTCTAATACAACTGACCTCAAAGTCCTAACTAGGTTCTTTTCATGATGTCTCTCAATTAAGGGCCCCCAAAACCCAGCGTTCTGTCCAAGTCTCCACCACGTAGATCATATTTCAGCAAAGTCACGCGGCTCACTTACTGCTCGGCTTTTAAGGCACTGACTTGCTTGCACACGAAACCAGTAAGTACGCTCGCTGCCCACGGCGGACGACCTGCTGTGCTCACTGCCGACCGCCACGTACAACACTTCTGTGCACACAAGGCGCTGCATGTGTGTTTCCAGATGAAAACCTCAGACGTTCGAGCCCACCACGGCCCAAACACAGGAGGAATCCAGCACACGGTTTTATCTGAAAGTCTTTCATCAGCAAGATGTTTTTTAAAAAAATCTGAGTAAGTTTAAGACTTATTTTTTAGGTGAAGACTGGTAAAGTAACAATCATGAGACTAATTCTTACAAACAAATTAGCCTTTTCCAAATGTTAAAGAAAGTCAGGTGAGAACACCAAACTTATGTAGTGTACCAATGAACAGTTTTATAAAACACAGTATCACGCTGGCATTAAATTAAAAACTGTCTAAAAATCTGTCCACTGTGCAATATACCTTTCCACAATCTCTGAGATATCAGTTAACTCTTTGTAACTCACTGTAAGAAAACCGATGTTCTCTTGCTTCATAATAAACACCTGGCCGCTCCGGGGCTGTCGCTCTGGGTGCAGACACCCCCATCAGCGGACACCTCCTGTGGCTCCCCACCCCCCTGGCACACCCACGCGCCAGGCCCTAGCGCTCCCTTTGTGGAGACAAGAAGGAAGGCCCAACAGGATACATCACCAGCTCCACTCAAGGGACTAGCAGGGCCAGGCCAGAAGGGCGGGGCCAGGCCGGAAGGGCGGAGTCTGGCCCTGCGGCCACACTCGGCCAGCAACACACTTGGGCAGCAACACACTCGGGCTGCGGGAGGGGGCGGGGCTGTGGGAGGAGACACCCACCTCCAGCAGCTCTGCCAGGTACTGCACGTGCTCCGCCACTTCGGCCAGGTCCCTGTTCTCCTTCCTCAGGCGGGCGATCTCATTGTCCTTTTGTTCAATTTCTCTGTGAAGCTGCACCACACAAACAAAGCTGAGTGTTCCACAGAGTTCCACGCTGTGAACCCAACCACATGCCTCCCAGGGTATAGCTGACGGCCACGGTGGGCAAAGCCCTGACAAAGGCGCTGTCTTTGGCCCTCGGCACGATAGCCTTCTTCTTGTGTAACAATCCTGGTAACAGTCGCCCGGCTAATGCGACCCCTGTCAGGCTGAAATTAAAGCTAGTTTATACTGCTCTATCCAAACAGACCAAGCAGCACACGGAACACTGAAATGTAAAAATGCGCCCTGGCGGATGTGGCTCAGCTGGCTGGAGCATCATTCCATAAACCAGAAGGTCACGGGTTTGATCCCTGGTCAGGGCACACGCCTGGGCTGTGGGTTTGCTCCCCACTCAGGGCACCTACAAAAGGCAACCAGTCGCGTTTCTCTCCCACATCCGTGCTGTTCTCCCTCCCTTCCCTTCTCTCTAAAGTCAATAAGCACGTCCTCAAGTGAGGATAAAAAACAAAATAAAAACAGCACAGATTCTACTAAGGGCTTACTTTCTCATTTTCCTGAAGTGCTTCATGGAGTGCCTTTCTCCGCCGCTCGGCCATTTCCTGCCAGTACTGAGAGGACGGATTTTCTGAAATAAATTGATGTTTTACACGAACTTTGAAAACCGCCACTGCTCCGTGCTGCTGTGACAACCCCAGAACATTTTTCTATTTAAGAAACAACTTATAATCTTAGGAATACCCATTTGTATAAATGTAAAGTTAGAAAACCAAGTCCACCTGTTCCTATTTTTATTCTCCCTGACATTTTAAGGGTCTCCAGTTAGTCCACCGAGGGCCTGTAGTTCCGTTCTGTGTCCCAGTTACCTGGACTGTCACTGTGCGGCTGCTTCAGCCCTGCGACACAGAGCCCGGCTGCCTGTCTCTGCGTGTGACCTGAGTGTCCTCTGCCACCAGTGCCACCCACGTCGGGTCTGAGTGAGCGCCACAAGCCCTGCAGCTCACCCACGACATGACTGAAGAGCTTCCCGACTTCTGCGCAGCCTCCCTCCCCGGCCTCTGCCCCGTCGACCCCAAAGCCGGCTGGGCTTTCTCCTCAGGGTCCCCCAGGAGAGTCAGACTGAGCCCCGGCGATGTCACGGCCTTGAGGACGCCCATCCACTTCGCTGCGTCTCCACTCTTTTCATCGAGAACTGCATCAACGGCCTTCCGTAATGTTAAAACCCATCACCAGCTTCCCCTCTGGTGTCGACCGCCAGGCCGTTGAAAACTAGCATCTGTCACATCACAGGCCGCGTGATCGGCCTCGTTCCTGCCGCCCCTCCTTCCCACTCTCCCCGTGCGTTCAATTCCCTTCTTCAAATTCAGTCTCAAGACACTTTTTTTCCCTGAAAAAACTCATATCCAAGATGCCATATTAATCACTATCCATTTATATTTCATCCATATTTCAATCTTAAGAAAAAGTAAGACTTGTTCAAATTTAGTGTTTGTGTCTTTACAACCAGAACATTTTAGTAAACTGTGTAACAGTGTCCTCCGCTTAAGAGCCTGTGAGCAGAATTCCTGACGGTATAACAAATAAAACTGACCTTTATCACAACTACTCTTCTCGTACCTGTAACCATAAGGTCAAACGCTTCCTGAGTGACCCCTCCAATGTCACTGGGCTCCGGGACAGCAGCAACTCCGGGGCTGGACTTCTTAGAGGCCGACAGGCCATCCCAGTGCTTCGCTTTGGACAAGCCTTTAACCGGCTACAATGAGACACGTATGTTAATATCCTTTATTCTGATCTAACGAACAAGAAAGCTGGGGGACGTGGGAGCCGGGGCAGGCACTGCTTCTGAAGAACGTGTGTTTAGAAGGAGGAAGAACCGCAGGAGGAAGGCATGCATCATTACAGTCCCGAAAAGAGGAAAAAGTGAGGAGGAGGAGCAGCCATCGGTTAAGAGCAGAAATTAAGAATATCAGAAGAAAAAATCAAAGACAGTGTAGAGGAAAAATGTAACTGCAGAAATTTTTTAAAAAGCACACAATCACTCTTTAATAAACTTGTTAGAAAATAAAAAAGATAGCTCAGTGGTTTTGTCATTTATGTATTAAAAATAGAGCACTCATCTCTGTCTCTTTGACATCTTTGGATTTTCTTTAAAAAAAAATCACAATGTAAAACTCTACCAAAATGTGTAGGTATATTTCATAAATTTCATTTGCAGCAACCGTTTTGATTCAGACTTGGGTCTAAGGCTTCAATGAAATCATTTTTATTGTTGAGATAATTCAGTACCACGGAAAGGCAGTATTTTCCATCCGCAAAAGCCTAGACATGTCTATCCATGGTTTCGCCACTTACACCCTAAAGTTAATGAGGGAATCTACCTGTCCGTTCTCAAAACACCCACACTCTCCTCCTGCAGGTTCATTCATAACGTATTATGTCATCTCAGTTCCACCAACATTACATTCTATTACATCAGATTTGAACTTTCCAGAGTGAACGGTGAAAATAAAAACCCCTCTGGTGGGGAAAACGCAATAGTCCTTCTTCCACTATTTCCCAACGTCCACGCCCCAGGGGCCCCTGACCCGGGGAGCGCGACCCGGCCCCCACTGCGTACCTCGTTCTCCCGTCCCACCAGGGTCCCGGCGGTGGAGGGCTGGATCATCTTCAGAGTCCTCCTCGGGACAGGGCTGTTCTGAAAGTTGAGAGAATTCATTACCCGATCACTGAGTGCTGTGTGGGTTGTTATGGCCTCAGTCCCACTAAATTCAGGAGGAGAGAATACTAAGAACACGGATACAGGGCGGGTAGAAGAGGTTCACAGTTGGGAGTACAGGAAACACGGCTTATTCTTGTATTATAACTTACCAATGATTCCATTGTTTTCCATACAAACAACTGTAAACCTACTTTTGCCCACCCTGTATCTCGTCAGCTATATAATTTTATACTCCTACTGTGAACCAGACACTGGTTTAACCAACTGAACAAACTTATTTCCCTAAAATTATGATAGAAAAATAAATAAACAAAATTGTAATAAAGTTTAAAGAAATTCTAAGACTGCATCGTATCACCCAAACTCGACACGTGTATGGTAAAAACTGACGAAACAGGTAAACTGGGGGGGAAGGCGAATTATTCACACTGCAAAGCACTTCCTCCCCTGGTCATCAGGACCGTCCCCTAACACATTTCCCTGTGTCACCAAAGGAACGCAGCGTGAGAACACGCTGCACACAAAACCAACCCCAGGACCAGCCCTCCGCCCGCCCCCCACAGCAGCAGTCTGGCTTCAAGCCCGTTTGCTCGGGGACTGCCAGCCTGTCTGGCCAGAGGCACGCTGAATACTGCAAGGGCCCATGCTACTGTCTGGGGAAAATACAGCCCTCCTTGTAATACGTAAATGCCTTCCTGTCTATTTCCTGCTCAGAAAGCTCTCTCTAGTTTTGCCAAAAGTCATTAGCCATCCCGCCAGCATGGGAGGGCAAACACCCGTGGGTCCTCAAACAAGGTCAGCAAGCGCGGGACACCAGAGCCCCGTGAGAACTCGCTGGCTGCACAGAGCCCCTCGCGGCCAGAGCGGCCTTCCCACGGTCAAGTTTCTCCTGCTGCTGATGATCTCACTGTTTAATTGAAGAACAAATGCCAGCTACTGTGAGAACAAACACCACGCCCACATCTCAGATGTAATTTAGATTGGTCCACAGTCTCTGGACAAATAGAAACAGACAACTTTGGAACCTTCGTAAGAGAAGACAATTTCCAAGATTTAACTTTTATAATGTGAGCTTCATAGCCTCTATCCCCCCAAATGTAATACTGCTGTTATCATTTTCTTTATGCAGATTATGCATTGGAATAACAGATTCAGCACAACCAAAAAGGTTCTTCTATATTACGGGTCTTAATCTTTTTAGAAAGCAATTTGAGATTCTGTAAACCTCTTTTTAAAAAAGCACACGGGAGCCCACTCACCCAGAATTTAGCATACAATTAGCCAGGAATCCATGAGTAGAATAAGAAGAATAATAACCAGTAACATCTTGTTTACAGAAAACCCTACGAGGGTCCTGAAAACCACCGGAATAAACAAGTTCAGCAGGGTTGCGGCGTTCAGGACACAAAAATCAATTTTGCTTCCACATGGGAACAGTGAGCACAGTGAAAATGTGCTTAAGGAAGCCATTCATCCACAGTTGCATTAAAAATAAAACATTTTAGGGGGAAAATTAACAAAGGAAGTGTGAAGCTCAATTCTCTGAAAACTACAATGCACTGTTGGAAGAAACTAAAGCCTTGAATTAATGGGAAGACAGCCCATGTCCGTGGATCAGGAGTTTTAACATTTGACCATAACTAATTTTTTAATGGTTCTCTACTGTTTACTTTTCTTCTGGCCACAAATTAAGTGATTTCAAATTGGCGGAAACTATAGCCGGGTTAAATTTGGTTAAATTACATTCACGCACCTGTAGGCCTGCTCTCTCCCCACAGAGGAAGGTGACCCTGCCACATACCTTCATGTGCCTGTGGGTCCCTCCTTGTTTCTGCTTCATGGCGGGATGCATGGTGCACCTGGGGACACAAAGGCAGAATGTGGTCTGTGCCTGGAGGTGGAGCTTAGATGCTCACCTGTGCCTGGCGGAACCACCTCTTCAATGCACCGACCACTGAAGTGACAGACGTCAGCAGTGACCCCTGATGTCTGCATCTGATACAAGCACTCACACAATAACTCTGGTTGGAAAACTGTATATTCTAAACAAATGCACAAAACCTTCTGGTGTCCTGAGCGAAACAGTGGGCTCTCAAAGATCGGGGAAATGTCCCAAGGAAGGAGAAGCAGACAGCTGGGGGTGCCCAAATCAGTCCCAGACAACAGCACCCCAAGGGCACCCTTTCCTGTGTGTGACCAGTTTGGCTCTGGTAACTGGCTGTCACTTCTTAGTGGCTTAATGTCCATGCTTTCGCATTCGTAGGAAAAGTTTCAGCACCCCCAGGAGCTGAGAAGAGAGGGTGGCAGATACAGGGACACCTAGTGAGGTTACTCACGCCACTGGGCCCACCCACTGAAACCCGACCCATGACCCCATGACCCCCAGGCACGGAGGGGTCTCCGAATGATCTTCCCCAAGTGCAGCCCTACCTTCACTCGGCGGGGCTTTCACACTTTGACTGTGACCCACCGCCTGAGCACTTTACCGTGTGCCCTGGCACATGGACGCAAACTACAAAGTTCAGGAGATGCACCCAATTTTCTATGCTATTTCCTGGTAGGCGAATGCTGGTCGGCACCCACGAGATTGAGCCAAGGTGACGCTTTCCAAACTGCGGATCGGGCCCGGACCCCACAAACATTCGGCGATCACCAACAGTTTGGAAAAAATAACTGATCAGAATAAAATTGAAAAGACGAGAAAACGTCGGAGTGCAGGGTATGTGGGGACCGGGTTCCGCTTCGTGAATCTTCTCAAGCAGCCGAATGGCTGCGTCTTAAACTGCGATGTAACTGTGCTCTCGCCCGTGTCACATTACAAATGCTGAAAGCCACCGATCAAGGTAAGTTCAAGCCTCCACATGTATGTCGCACTCCTGTCTGCAGCCTGGCGCCCTACTTCACTCCCCAGTTCTTTTCAACTAGATTAAAGACGCCAGCACAAGCCTGGGTCCAAAGGAAGTGTTGACACACAGGGGCACCGGTGTCACCAACACTAGTGCCGCTGTTTAACCGGGGACCAGGATCGGAGACCACCTAGAGCCCAGTGTGCGCCCCACCCCTGTCCCCAATCACCGCCAGTCGCTAGTCCAGAGGGTGGGCGTTCCGTTCCGCCTCCCGACAGTCAGGCGCAAGGAAGAGTCAGGCACTACGCCGCCCGCAAGGCCTCCAGTCCCCTACCACCACCCGGGGACGCGGGGCTCGCCGCTGCGCGCGCCATCCAATAGGGAGCACGGATAAGGAGCGCGCCAAAATCAACCTAGCCAATGGGGCAATCCCGAGCCCTACCAACTGCCCCGCCCCTCGCGGCTCCAGCCAGTTCTAAAATTCCACTTACCGCGGCTCTGCGGAGTCACGGGAGGGCCGATTCCGGCGGGCGGGAAAGCGAGGCAGCTACCACTCTCTCTCACTGAAAGGAACCGCTCAGCTCTGGCCGCGGCACCAAGCACAACGGCCCCAGCCGACCAGCACCAGTCCACACCGCAGCCGAGCAGACGCGGCGCGCTGCTGAAGAAGATCGCCGAATCCGCGCCCCGCCCCGACGGCCACGTGACCCCCCCGAGGGGTGGGGCCCGCCCAAGTCTGGCCAATCGGCGCCCGCCTCGGCCCCGCCCCTGCCTGCGCCGGCGCGGGGGGGCCCAGCGCGTCTCTGCTTGAGGAAGTCCTGTCGTTGTCCCCGGTCTTGATGGTCCTGCGGAGGGAGCAGCCAGAGCCGCCTCCACCCGCCGCGGACACCGGAGGGATGACGTGTCGCGTCTGCAGTGCGCGGCTCCTCCTGTCTGTGTGCAGCCGACTCCCCGCCATGGGCAGAGCCTTGACGTTCGGGCTTCTTGCATTTTGACTCTTAGGGGTCGGGGCGGGGTGGGGCAGGGGCACTCGGGCACCACGGAGGTTCCAGGCGCCGGACACCGCTGCGCTGCAACTCGGGGTGAAAAGACCTTAGTCCTGCGGCCGGCTTTTCTTAGTAGTCCGCCAGATTCTCCCATAGCCATCTTTGTGGACGAGGTGCAAGGGACCCACCGGCGTCTGTCACACCTGCAGCAGGTGTGGAGGAAGTCTGCGCTCCCGTTTCCTGACTCCTCGTTCTCCCTCCACCCCCGCCGCTTTGAGCACGTGCTTTCCCCTCCTTGCCCGCGACCCCGGTGCCTGCCTGCCTGCCACCTCCCTCCCCAGACCTCTTGACAGCTGAAAATGCACAAAGCATAGTCGGACGGCTCTGGCTTTGAGGAAATATAGCGCATGAAATCTAAATTCATAAAGGATACATCAGAAAACCGAGTTTCCAGAAGGAGAATGGTGACAGGTGCGAGCACTGGGCTCCTTGACTTTGAAACGCCAGCCATTTCACATCGGGACTCTGACTGCCCGTGTCACCCGTCAGCACGTAATGAAAAGGGCCACTGACAAGAGCCCAAATGGGTAAGCATATATTCGAGATTACATAAAAAGTTACATTCAGGTCGTCTGCTCTACGTAAAGTGTGAAGCGAAGTTCATAATGGTGCTATTTCTCTCCAGAACTAAAGCGCCAGGAGGAATGTTGTCTTCCATGTGAAATCCGTGAGCAGGGCAGAGGGCAGAGTCGAAGAGTCTGAAACCTGAAACAGTAGTTTACCAAACGATATCCATGGCACATAGTTCCTGGGAGAATGTGCTACTGCCACTAGGTGGCAATGCTGTCTGACCTAACTAAACGCAGAACTTGAACTTGGAAGTTCCTCTAACAACCTGTATACTGTGTTGCTGATTTTCTCACTCACTGGGCAGACTCGACTTTCATTAATGTGCGTCCAAAGTTACATTCTTCAAACTTTTAGTAGCAAAGGAAAAGACCCTGTTTCCCCACACAAGGACTGACACTGAATGATGAGAAGAGGCTAGACAGGCGGGGGGGGGGGGGGGGGGGGGAGCTCTGGGGCGGGGCAGCTGGCACAGCTTGGAGGGAGAGAGAGCATCTTCCTCACACCTGCCTCCCTGGGCCTGCTGCCTGACACTCGGCAGACTTACATTACAGGGACCCTCAGTGGATGCTGCCACACTGTGTGACCTCGGACAGGCATCTAACTCCTGGACAGGCGCCAACTCTGCTCCCCCCCCCCCCCATAGCCACTGATCTTTCCACTGTCTCTCTGGTTTTGCCTTTCCCAGAATGTCACAGAGTCGGAATGGCACAGTATGTCACCTTTTCAGACTGGCTTCTTTTGTCTAAGGAAGAGCATTAAGTGTTCATTCCATGTCTTTTCACAGCTGGGTAGCCCATTTCTTTTCGGTGCTGACCAATGTTCCATCACCTGGATGGACCGCGGTTTCTTTGGAGTGCATCGTATTAACACACATTATTTTACAGAATCATAAAGTGAGGTGCGTAACAAAATGGCCAGAAAGTAAGCGCAGAAAGAGAGAATTTTCTGTCCACAAAGGACATTTGACCATATAGGAGTAAAATAAAATTATTTTAAAAGTACAGTACAAACAAGGGGGAAGTTCATGAATCCTTTTGTATTGCATGTAAAAGATACAATTTAGGAAAAAAGAGAGAATTGTACCACTGATGTGGTCTGTTCTTGAGTCATTCTCCAGTTTTTTGGTTTTTTTTTTTAATTTTCTTATTGATTATGCTGTTACAGTTGTTCTATTCCCCCCTTCATTCCCCTCCACCCTACCCCCCCCATCCCCACCATTACCCCCCTTTAGTTTATGACCATGTGTCTCGAGTCCTTTAGATTCTATATTTCCCATGCTATTCTTGCCCCCCCCCCCATCTATTTTCTATCTACTGTCTATGCTACTTATTTTCTGTACCTTCTCCCCCCTTCTCCTCCTCCCACTCCCCTGTTGCTAACCCTCCTTGAGATCTTCATTTCTATGTTTCCACTCCTGATGTAGCTGTCCTTTTAGTTTGCTTTTGTTTTAGGTGTGGTTGTTAATAACTGTCAGTTTGTTGTCCTTTCACTGTTCATGTTTCTTTAACCTCTTTTTCTTAGATAAGTCCCTTTAACATTTCATATAATAAGGGCTTGGTGATGATAAACTCCTTGAATTTGATCTTATCTGAGAAGCACCTTATCTGTCCTTCCATTCTAAATGAAAGTTTTGCTGGATAGAGCAATCTTGGTTGTAGGTCTTTGGATTTCATGACTTGGAATACCTCTTTCCAGCCCCTTCTTGCCTGTAAGGTCTCTTTTGAGAAATCCGCTGACAGTCTGATGGGAACTCCTTTGTAGGTGACTGTCCCCTTAGCTCTTGCTGCTTCTAGGATTCTCTCCTTCATTTTAATTTTGGCTAATATAATTATGATGTGCCTTGGTGTGTTCCTTCTTGGGTCCAACTTCTTTGGGACTCTCTGAGCTTCCTGGATTTCCTGGAAGTCTATTTCCTTTGCCAGATTGGGGAAATTCTCCTTTATTATTTGTTCAAATAATTTTTCCACTGGTGGCTGTGACTTTCCCCCTTCTGGTACCCCTATAATTCGGATGTTGGAACATTTAAAGATGTCCTCATTTCTAAGACTCTCCTCATTTCTTTGAATTCTTGCTTCTTGACTCTTTTCTGTTTGGTCATTATTTGCTTTCTTCTGGTCCACTCCATTGATTTGAGTCCCAGTTTCCTTTTCATTGCTATTGGTGTCCTGTGCAATTCCATTCAATTAGTTTCGCCTTCATATGTTTGTCTAATTTGTGGCTATAATCAACCAGTTCTGTGAGGATCCTGATCAGCAGTGTTTTAAACTGTGCGTCTGAGAGTTTTGCTATTTCTTCATCGCTTAGATTTATAGGCTCTGGGGCTTTGAGATCTTTTTGAGCCATTTTTGGTCTGTTCGCGCCCTTTAAGTGTGAGGAGCGGCTCCTTGGACTCCCAGGTCGCTGGGTTGTGACGCTGTATGTGGGGGCGTGGTCAGAGCGGGGAAATGGCGACCCCCTCTGCTTTTTCTCACAGCTGGGTGAGGAGCAGAACCTTAAGTGGTTCACCTGGGCCAGACCACTCAGTCGCTGGGTTATGACGCTGTATGTGGAGGTGGGGTCAGAGCAGGGAAATGGCAGCGCCCTCCCTGTGGCTTGCCGGACCCGCTCGGTCCCGGTCCAATCGCCTACTCCCTCGCCTGTCCACCCGCGCACAAATGCGCGACCACAGTCAACCCGCAGCCCTGCTCCCTCGCTGTATCCCTGCAGTCGCTCACTCGCTCGGTCGCTCACTAGGTCCAACCCTGCGCCTGGATTCCGGGTGCCTCAGTCCGTCCTACCGAGCCTTCCTGTGCAATCCCGCTCCACCAGCTGCTGGTTTCGCCCCCTGCCGGTCAGGCTGAAGAATTTGTTGTTATCAGACTTCTGAAAAGTTCAATTTTCTGTGTTCTGGCTGTGTTTTCTGTTGCTAATATTTAGTTGTCTCTAACCTTGGTTGTGTGAGAAGGCACGGCACATCCACCTATGCCTCCATCTTGGCGGAACTTTTTCTGTTTTTCATTCTCCAGTTTTAAACAATTCATGAAAAAAGAAGAAATGTCAACTTTAAACTTTTTACTTGAATTCAGTCAATATTTCAAGTATGAGCTAAAATTTGTACTTATGAAAGAAACTATCGCACTTCTCAGTGTGCACTCGTCCACTGTTTTAAACTGAACAGATAACGATTCCAAGTTCTTGCACAGAGGGGACCAAATGGAAGCGAGTCCTAGTCTGTCTGTCTCTCCACCCGGACCACTAGCGGTCTGCATCTCGGGTTTAAGAGGGCAAGGGCAGTCCTGCGGGGGCTGGAGACCGGACGGGGCCCCTCTGGGACCTCCAGGAGCTCTGTGGGAAGCTGGGGCTGCCTGGTGCCCTCTGGGCTGGGGGCGGGGGTTCCTCCGAGCCTGCTTATGGCGAGCTCACCGCCCACGTGAACTTGGCAACAGCCCTTCAGTGCTAGTTGCCCGGAAGGGGCGCTTTATCTCGCGCTGCCGAGCACTGCCCAGGGTCTGGCAATCGGTGGTTAAAAGCAGGCCCATTGAGCAGTTTTGTTTTGCTTAGTTACAGTCAACACACCCTCACCTGGCCCACCTGGCGGCCACCGCCCCTCGCCCTTGGCAGGCCCTTGAGACAGGTCCCCTAGTGGCCCAAGAAAAGCCAGAGGAAGCAGAGAGAAAGCAAGCCTGCAGGAGGGGGGGCAGGGGCAAGGCCCGGGGCAGGGCAGGGAAGCGGGGTGCAGACTGCCAGAGAGACTTCAGGGGACGGCGACCTGAAGCCGCAGGGCCAGGACCAGCCCAGGAGACCAGCTAGGCTGCCCTCCCGACACTCCTGGTCCTTGTAGACGGACAGCAGGCCCCAGAGGGCTGCTCCCTGCTGAGCTCCCTCAGTGTCGGTGGGACCCGAACACCCGCCCCTGCGGCTGTGCCCCTCCCTCTCAGGAGCGCCCTGCAGGGACACCTCACGCACCCTCGCCCTTTCCCGGGGAGCAGGCTGGCTTCTGGCAAAGGCACAAACCACCACCATGTTCCTGGAAGGTGTTGTGCTGCGGACCACACCCCTCGGAAGGGCCTCCGGGCCGCCAAGGGC